GTGAATCACTGCAGGTGTTACGTTAGTAACACGGTTAAGTGAATCTGGCTTCCCGCATTGACTTTGCTTGCCAGAAGGGCTCAAAAGTTGATCACAAGATCCCAGGACCCTGCAACCATCATAACGATGAGTCAGCTGTCAAACAACTGAATTTTGATCACGTGACCATAGGGGTGCCGCAGCAATCATAAGTATGAAAAATGGTCATCAGTCGCTTTTTTCAGTACCATTGCAACTTTGAACGGTCACTAAATGAACTGTTGTAAGTCGAGGACTACCTCTAGGCAACTGAAACAATCCTTCCCTTCAGAGACGAGGATCCTGGACCTCCCCTCGTTTTTATTTTATTTATTTATTTCATTCTTATCCCACCTTTATTGTTGGTTATAAATAAATCAAGGCAGCGAACATACCTAATACTCCTTCCACCTCCTGTTTTCTCCACAACAGCAACCCTGTGAGGTAGGCTGGGCTGAGAGAGAGAGAGAGGGACTGGCCCAAAGTCACCCAGCTGTTTTTTCATGCTTAAGGCGGGACTAGAACTCATGGTCTCCTGGTTCCTTAACCACTAGACCAAACTGGCTCTCCAGTTACGCTGGAGAGAGCCCTAGGGGAATAAAACAGGCCAGGGGTCACTTTAAGCACAAGTGGTAAAATACTGAATGAAGCCAACTGGATATAACTTCAGTACCTATAACTGAGGTCTCCAAACTTGGCAACTTTAAAACTTGTAGACTTCAATTTGTGGAGTTGAAGTCCACAAGTCTTAAAGTTGCCGTGTTTGGGGACCCCTGTAGCCTCTATTCTATTGCATCCTCAACTACAGGTTGTCCTCGACATACAACCGCAATGGAGCCTGCCCATTATGGTTGTACATCTTGATTGTCATAAAATGGCCAGGTCACGTGACCAATCACATTTTAGAGAGTTTTTTTTAATTGCAGTTGTCAAGTGAACACTGTAGTCATTAAGCAAACACTGCACTTGTGTGAAACCACTGTTTGCTTTGGCTGCAGTTTTGCTGAAAGCCTGAGGTGCTAGGTTTCCTCAAAACTGCTGCAAAATATGGCCACATTGCCAAGTGCGGTCACATGCCTAGAGGCTGACCATGAAAACTTCAAATCTGGGTTGTTAGTCCCTTTTTCAGGTAGGTTGTAACTTTGAATGGTTGCTAAGCAACCAGTCGTAAGTCAAGGACTACCTGTATTCATTCAGTAGGATTCTTTAGGGTGGCGAAAGATTTATTGTCATCCGCTCTAAAGAGCCCAATGTTGCAGCTCTCAAAGAATTGATGTGACTGATTTTGTGAAGCATTTTTGTGCCAATAAAGGATGCTTTTAATGCAGGTCGTGGTGTGCAGCATGCCATTTGGTCTAATTGTGTGGAATCGCTTTTAGTTTATGAAGCCTCAGATGGTGAACGAGATAGTTTTAATTCTCTGGTTTACCACATGCTTTTTTAACTCCTGTTGATCTTGACTTACTCAGACTAGGTGAGGGAAGTTGGCTAAGTGGATCCAGAAAGTGGTGAATGCATTATTTTGGGAGGAAGTGGTACCTCCAGCATTAAAAGAAGCAATAGTTTGTCCAGTCTAGAAGAAGCTCTCTCTAAATTCAAAGGATTCGATCAAATATTGCCTTACTAGCTCGATACCTGTGCTTCGCTATGAAACTGTGGTCAGGCTTACTTTTTTGGAAGGAAAAGAAGGAAAAGAAAATTCTGCCTATGCCTACCAGCATCCATCTGTATTCATCTGGCTAGCACCCTGTTGGTGTGTGAGAGAGTTGAAGGCTGTTTGGAAACTGAAAGCGGTATTTGCTGTGTGAGCAAGAAGAAGACAGCAAGGAGCCTGGGCGTGTCTTAGCTCAACTGTTCTGTACTAAAACTGCTTGGTGCTGTGAAATTGAAACTGAAACTCCTCTGCTTGTGTTTTGCATTTGGAAGAGATTTCTTTTCAGGTGGGGAGTGGGAGTAGATTGTAAATATTGATTATAACTTTTGTTCATTTGTGTAAGTGGCTTCCACCCAATTGCCAGTATTCTTAAATTTAAACTGCTGTCTTGATCTTTTACAACCCAGCTTGGGAAATTATCAGCCTGATGCATGTGAAAATAGCAAAGGTGTATGACTCCTTTGACTTTGCTTGATGTTACAGCTTTCGATACCATTGGCACCATCTCTCTATGGATTGTCTTCATAAGTTATGGACTCAGGTCTGTCTCCATACGTTGCTTCTAAATTCAAGGGCAACCTCAGAGAGTGGTATGGTGACCGTGCATCTGGGCCCTGGGCTGATGATACCTATGGGAGCTCCAAAATATCTTTCCCCTTTGAATCTGAATATTTTAAATAGCCCTATGGCTGTTTCTTACCCCACTGGAATCCTAAGGGAGTTCCTATTGTCAACTTTAGATTATATATCTACAGTGACCTTTCCGAATGGTCTACCAATGTTCTTGCATTTATCACTACAATTATTGTAGGACACTCTGTGTGGGACTTCCCTTGTGCAATGGAGACTGGAAATGAGAAGAACGCAATGACCAAGTTGTTGAGCTGAGTACTTAAATTCACGTCGTCACATCACATGACATATCGCGACTTTTCCCCCCTTCACTAAACCAGGGCACGGCCAGCGCATGATGCATCCGGCCTGCGGGCCGTGAGTTTGACACCCAGGTTGAAAGAATGCAAATTATGCAAGTGCTGAAATGCTGGCTCTCAGTTAGTTGGTGAGCCAAATTTCATATGTTGTTTAGCGCATCTAAAAATGCTCTAAGAATCTTTACCGTTCAAAAACCTATGGATTGCTGACATTGTTGAGGAGCTCCTACTGCATCTACCTAGATCAGGATGGGCAAACTATGGCAATTTTACGAGCTGTGCCCAACCTAGATATAGAGGTTGTCATTATGAAATAAAATTCATGAGTGCCTATGATATTTCAGGGTGATTTCTTCACCCAGGCTGATGTTTTCATGTTTTTATGTAATGGGATGGGATGAATGCTTTTTGTTTCTGGTTCCTTCGTTCTTTCTTTTCTCATTTTACTGTAGATCATGTGTACGTGTATAAAATATATACAGGTAGTCCTTGACTTACAACTACTTGTTTAGCAACCATTTGAAATTATGACAGCACTGAAAAAAATGACTTACAATCAGTCCTCACAATTGCAACCATTGCAGCATCCCTGTGGTTGCATGATCAAAATTTGGGTGCTTGGCAACCAGGTTTGCGATCTTCCCAGCCAACTTCTCACAAGCAAAGTCAATGGCAGAAGCAGGATTTGCTTAATGTACATGTGACTCACTCAATAACTACGGCATAACAAGTTGTGAAATTGTGCATTACTCATTTAAAAACTACCTTGCTAAGCCATGTCAGTCCCAATTGTGGTTGTACGGTGTGGAAAGAAAGAGAGAGAAATGGAGGCACATATGTTAACCTTCACTTTTGATATGAGATCTGTGGAACTCACTGGTAAGGAATTCAGTGGCTAACAACAGTTTTAATGTATTTTAAAGAGACAGGATCTCTTACTAACGTTCTTGTTAGTAAGGACGGCTCTGGAATCTCTGGCTCTGCTTTGTGGCGTACTGACCTCTCAAGTTAACCCATCAATAAAAATTTAAAACTAAAAGGATTTTTAAAAGACCAGGATGAACATTTTACAGATAGTCCTCAACTTACAACCACAGTTGATCCCCAATTTTCCATCAGTTGTTAAGTGAGTTTTGTCCCATGTTACAACTTTTCTTGCAACAATTGCTTAGTGAATCATTATAGTTGTTGTGTTTGTTAAGTGAATTGGACTTGCCCATTGTCTTTGCTTGTCGGAAGGTCACAAAAGGGGATCACATGACACTGTGAAAGTCATAAATACGAGTCAGATGCCAAGTGTCCGAATTTTTGATCACCTGACCAAAATTGATGACCACACGGATTCTGCAACCGTCAAAAGTCATAAGTCACTTTTTCCAGTGACCTTGTAACTTTGAATAGTCATTCAATGAATGGTTGCGAGTTCAGGACTACCGCACTTGGGATGGAGAAGTGAGACTGTTACAGGTGTCTATGGGCATCAGGTTGGGGATTACTCCGTTGATAGAAGTTTTCTCCTTCAAGTGAGCTGCCAAAACATGCCCCCTCCAACAGTTCCTGCAAATCTCCCTTGCGCTCAGTGCCAGGATTGTATCTCTGTAAAATGTGTGGCATTTCCGCCAATAACACTCAAAACCTCCATTAAATTTTAATGGGCTCAAACTTGGCACCTTCTGCAGCAGACTCGTATAAATTGCTAAATTGATCCCACCATCTCCCATACTGCTTTTCCTTCCACCTTCGACTTGGATGATCTCGTTGACTACCTATTGCCTCGCCTCTGGATCCCTCCATCTTTCCAAGCCCTGCGGGGAGTGGGGGGGGGGGGGTCTCTGAAAAAAAATGGGCTTGCCCTGGGGCAAAAGGTGCAGCGATTGCTCTGCCGGCTGCTCGCCCACCTATGCAAGTAATTGTGGACTGTCCCTTTAACAGGTTGAATGCGTGAGCTTGTCCAGTTTAGAAAGCTGCCGTGCAACATGTTTCCTCCTTTGGCCGATGCCCCACCGCCACCGGCTTCTTTTTGCTTGGCTTGGCTTCAGTCGGGATCCCACCTGCCTCAGGAGCAAAGCCTTTGGCATCTCTGCGTTTCTCCAGGAGTTAAATCCGCTGGGCGGTACATCTCTCTTTCTCAGCTTGTGCAACTGGAATCTTGCCTCTCCAGGGGCTGCCTGTGCCATGGCCAAATTCCCGGTTGCTACTCCGGAAGCCAATTGTGCCAGGGAAGAATGTGCTGGCTCAGCATATCAGTCCGGAGAATGTGAGGAGACTAGCGAGGGAGGGAGGGAGGAAGGGACGGAGAGAGAATGAGAGAGAGAGAGAGAGAGAGAGAGATTCTCTGCCCGTTTCACCTTCGTCCCCTGCTGTCTAACGACATCTCCTGACTCTTCTGTTTGCAGACATAAATTGGAGCAAGAGCAGCATCATGTCTGACGGCAAGGAGTGGGCCACCCTCAGCCCGGAGGAGTTCACCCAGCTGCAGAAGTACATTGACTGTGAGTCCTTTTCTTTCTCCCTTCGTACCAATAGGCTTCTCTTAGCCCCTGAGAGGGATAGAGGCATGGACGGGCAGGACCTGTTAAAGCTAGAACTTCCTCTTTAAAATCAGAGGTCATACCAACTCCTTAGAACTTCAATCTGATTTACTTGAGCATCGAGAAAGGAAAAGCAGCTATTTCTATGCCGGTCCCAAGAAAGCTCATAGGATCATTCTTTTGTGCTACCCCATGTCTATCTGTTCCCTACCTCCCCTCCCACCCACCCCAAACTCACTAGTATTAGCTTGATATCTCATGTAGTTTGCACAAAGCACAGTTGAGTGTCCAGCGACAAATATCAAGGAAAGGATAGTCTTGGTTTATGAGGAATCTGCCAAACAAGATAATCTTTAACTTTGGCTTATCTTGAATTTAAATTCTTAGGCGATCCGTTCTACAAGTTAGACACTCATAGTTTAGCACCCCAGGTTAAGAATTTTTTTAAAATTTGCATCGGCTGGATTGGATGCCTCATTGCAACCCTCTGATTCTTACATCACTTTGAAGCTTAGGACAGAATTCAGAGAGTTCCAATTGTTGGCCAATACAAACGTCGTGCCTGACACATTTCCTGGTTATAGCATGAACTGAATCAGGATTCCTACACCTTTTCCCCCTTGTCAGTCTTCACTGTTCCTTGCTCCACAGATAGCAGCAAGAAAGTGCAGGATGTGCTGAAGGAATTTTATGGAGAGGGTACATTGTCTCAGCATCGGCAAGGGGATGTGAGTATCTCCCTCTTCCTTTCCTGCAAACATCTCCATCTTTTGCCTTGCTAGGTTACATATTTGCCTTGAGTGTTTACCAGCAAGGTGACTCTGCAAATCAATACAACATCTTTCGAAACTTATGTACCACTTTGGGTTCTTCTGCCTTTCACACATACATTCTGGGGTTGCATGATGCTTAGCTGCATTGTGGGACGTCCTGGAGGGCAGTAAAAATGTTGTCTAAATTCTAAAACTCAGCAGTTTGACCCAGTGTGTGTTAAGATTTAGTTTCAAAGAGGCCTGATCTTATATGCAACTAAAACAGTCCTCTATCAGTTCACTCTGCCGTGTCGTGACCACACTTTGAAAAGGTTAATGATCTCCCCCAGTGTCGGTGATCAAGATGATGTCCTAGAGAGCCCCATGAAAATGGAACAGCATTTAGAGAGATGGTTTATCTGTGTAGCTGTTTTGGCTTCAACTAGTCTTTGGTCAAACCGGGGTTGTGTATGAGAACAAGGCGCAGAAACAAGTTAGGTAGAATGTGGCTCTCTAGAGCCTATCCAGGGGAGCACAATCTCCAAAATAATCAACCATGCCTATCTCCCTCCCGGAGGAAAATGAAAATTTGCAGGAAGAGAAATGATCATATCCCAACCTCCTCTGTAGCATTTGGGAGTGGGGGTGCTATAACATGGTTGCTGCCTGACCCAGCTATTCCAGATGGTCTGCTGATGGCATATGGAAGTGACATACTAACTGGATCGTCTGTGCTACGCAGACAGAGCCATAGAATTACAGCGAGGGCTTTGTAGTCCAAGCCCCAATTCCAAGCAGGAAATCCAGTGCTGGAGCCCAAAGACATCAGTCAGATTCTGATTGAGGATTTCCAGCAGACAAGAGCCCCCTTCCCAAGTAATTGATTCATTTGTCAATGTAAATCTAAACCTCTAAAGATTATGACACTTTGTCATCTAGATCCGGTTCTACCCCTTGCAGAAGCAGAGAACGACCCTTTACCCACTCTTGAGGGATAACTCTTATCAAAGGGGCTTTCATATCCCCTTTTTGGCCACCTCTTCACCAGCTATAAATAATCATCTCCTTTCATCTTTCTTCCTTATTTTCTACACTCCCAAGTGTCTTGGTTGCCATCCTCTGAGCCAATTTCATTGTGTCTGTATCAGCGGTAGGCAACATGGTGACTTTCAAATATTTTGGATTCAGCTCTAGCCTGCATGACCAACAGCAAGTTGTTGTAGACCAGAACATTTGGAAAGCACTGCATTGTCTAGCTCCTGTCCTACATCCTTTCAAAATGTTTCTTGCCCAGAACTGAAAGCATAACTCCAAGTACAGTCTGAAGCATGATTATGATGTTATAGTTCATCACACAGTCAGCCAGTTGTTGAACTGGGTTTGGTGTTTTTATCCATCTGCCGAGTCTTCCCAAAGGTCTGGGTTAGGCAGATGTTGATGTTTGACGGCATTAGAGGTATCGTTGCAGGACGTATGTTGCAGGACATAAGCTGGTCTGAATAAAGCTGCCTTTTGCAATTGACTGATGTTGAATTTGTCAATGCCGATAGAGTTCAAGTGGTGCTCAAGTTGTTTTGGGATTACACCCAAGTATTTTGCTGCAGCTTGATTGCGCTTCTGGCTCTTCTTCGTTAATTAAATTTATTTTTTCTACTATTCATCTTGATGTGCTGTTTCTCTCTCTCTCTCTCACACACACACACACACCAGGATGTGGCCTTGGTGTTTGGCTTTCCATTCTGCCAATTATTTGAAGATTTATTCTTGCCTTCTGAAATGTTGGTGAATCCTCCAACTCTTACGCTATTCTCAGATCTGACATTTCTCCCATTCCTCCGTCTAAACTGAACACATTCAAAAGTACAAAAGTCAGTCGTGGGGCAGCCTCCCCAGGTCCTCCTTCCAGCCTTTGTGTGTGATTCTCGCGATCTCATCTGCAACGAAGTAGTTTTTTTTAACCAAAATATCAAATATGGGATTGTGACAACCCCCTCCCCCAAATCCTTTTTGCCAGTTTTACCAATTGATTTTGGTATCTTTTAAACGCCATCCTTCTGTTCGCATAGGACACTTAAGGTGACATATATCCCAAAACTGACTCCAGCTTCCCTTCCTATATTCTGACATTCAACAGCTCCACTAGGGCTTATCCTAAACCTGCCCTTCCCACCCACATCACTCCACATGTTCTTCTTGTTTGAAGTATATGCAATGATTTCTTTCTGGGTCCATTAATCACAATTTCATTAGTTCCAGTAGCAACCAAACAATAGGGAACAGCCATCCTGTTTCCCATTAAAATGAGAAATAACATTTTTACCATTCCCTGCATACAGTAATATATCTAGCACTGAAGTGACACATTATTAGCTGAGTCAAAGCTCCGCTTTTTGGCACCATCAATAGGGAATGTCAGTAGCTATGATTCCTGGCATTCTTCTCCTTGCCTTTGGCTTATTTCTCTGATAATGCTGTTCTCAGTTAATAGACTTTGAAGGCTTTAAGCTCTTCCTGAAAACTTACTTGGAAGCAGAGGAGATCGCGGATGCACTTTGCTGTCACCTCTTCATGTCATTCCAGACCACGGCAGGACAAACCACAAAAGAGCCAGGTATGTTGTCTTGGCAAGCTGCCTCACGTAAAATATTGACCTTTCTCTGAGAGTTTGAGGAAGAGTGTGGGTTTGCATCATTTCTGCCCCCTCCATCCAATTTTTAGTAAGGATCATTTTGATGAGGGTTGGGTTAGGCAGTCATTCCGAGGACGAAGGATTACTTAACCCAGTGTTTCTCTGCTTTTCAGCCAGTGGTTTTGTTTGCGTCAATGACGTCTCTTGTTACTTCTCACTGCTAGAAGGTGGGAGGCCCGAAGACAAACTGGAATGTGAGTACTGCAAAGGATCAAGAGAGCAGACTAGTCTCAATTCAGAGCTAGATTTTTCATGCAGGCACATTTTGACTGGGAAAATCTGATTTTGGTAATTCTTCCAGACAGAGAACCAACTTGCTGTTATTAAGATATCTCCTTCCTTCCTTCCTTCCTTCCTTCATGCCTCCCTCCTCCCTCCCTCCCTCCCTTCCTCTCTCCCACATACATAAATATAATTTTCACCTCTCAAGAGTCATCTTCCAAATATATTATCATAGGTATATATAATTTAGATTAATTTTTACTTACTCTGCTATGAAAGACAATTTAACTGGCTGGATATGCAGAAGTTCTCTAGCACAGGGGTCCCCAACCACCGGGCCGCGGACTGGTACCAGTCCGTGGAACATTTCCTACCGGGCCGCTGGTTTGCTAGGCGCCGCCATCTTGTTTGACGAGAAAGTGCTTCCAGGTGAGCTTTTCCGGTTGGAAAGCGGCGTTTGGGTCCTGAAGGAATCCTCGCACCTTAGTTTCATTGAAGGGGGGGCTTCGAACAAAACTAAGGCGTGAGGATTCTTTCAGCACCCAAGGCAAGGCAACCCGAGCGACCCTCCCGAAGCCGTCCTGAAGCGAAGCCCATCAACAAAGGTACAAAGGAGGAGTTGAAGGTGGCGGGGAGAAGCGGGGGACGGCTGGCTGGCCAGTCGCGGCTCACCTTGCCTTGTCATGCGTGCTGATATCGGTACCGGGCCACGGATCATTTTGTGATGCCGGTACCGGGCCGTGGCACAAAAAAGGTTGGGGGCCACTGCTCTAGCAGGTTCTGGGTTCTCATGTTCACCTCCCGTTTGTGTAGGATAATTATAATTCTTCAGCTGGCATCGATCTTAAGCTCATACAGTTTTATCAACACAAGAATGCCTCTGATATTTTAAATTTGTAGAAGCCTTTTGAAATCTTTTCTGAAAAATAATGTTTTAAAACATTTGGGGATTTATGCTGGGTTTCTGCCAAAGAAATTGATCTTGCTCTCAATCTGAAGAAGCCCACTTTAGTAATATGCTTTGCCTCCCTCAAGTAAGATCAAATGAAAAGCCTTGATGAAACAGTACTCTTGAGAGAAGAGGCCCTGGAGCAAGAGGATGAAGGCAGAGACACGTGTATTTGTTGATCCCTCGTCTAGAAGCTTCTATTTTTAATTTCCATTTTTCCTCCCACAGTCACCTTCAAGCTTTATGACAAAGATGGAAATGGTCTTCTTGACAATTCAGTAAGTAACATGAGGCTGTTAGAAGATAATAAGAGTTTTGGAACTGAGTCCCCCTGTTCTTTTTTCCTCCACTTCAGACAGAAGAATTGGTTTATCCAAACAACACACAGACACATACACAAAAGCTGTATTCAGCATTTTGTGGTAGAGAAGGCCCAAATATGTTGATGCTAAATCTTTTCATACAAATCTTTATAAAGTAATGAATCCCATTGTAATATAACTGACAGCCTCCCGTGCTCGTATATATCAGTCTGATTTTTGTTGGTTCCAGTTGGTTTAGCACCAAAAAGTACCATTTCTTTTTGTTCAGGGACCACACAGGGCTTTTGAGCAGTGTGCAGCAAACTTGCTCCTAGGGCTGTGGTGAGGCCACAATAAAAATTAAATTTGGTTTGATTTAATGTAAGTATAAATGTAATCACCCTTAAATCAAGTTAATTAAATGCAGCTGGAAGAATGCAGCTCTTAGATGTTTTTGAAATGAGGTTTCCCTTTCTTTCATATTATAAATGATATTTTGGTGAAAGCTTTGAAGGTACTCTGGAGACCACATCCTATGGAGAAGAAATTTGCTCTCTTCTAATTAAACAGCTGAATGTCCCATCACTGCATCTCCTGGAAAACCAAAATAATCTTATTTTCAACAGGCTAGGTCAGATATATTGCTTTTGTCTGAATCATTTTCTGTTCTCTGATAAAAATTGGGGAATACCTGCTTTCATTTGGGGTCTACACTTACCCCTCAAGTCAATCTTCATCAACAGTCTTCCTTTTGATATATTTGACTACAGTGCCAAGGATGCCCCTTGTTAGGAATTCTGGGAACCCCTGGTCTAACACAATAAGAGGTGCCAGACTGGCAAATGCATACATGCTGGCCCTTTCATATAAACTACTGTGGTTTAATTCTGGTCCTAAACTGTGCTCTTCTCTCTAGGAGGTAGATCGCATCATCACGCAGATGATGCGCGTAGCTGAATATCTGGACTGGGATGTCACTGAGCTTAAGCCAGTAAGTGCAGAATTCCTTCACTTGCTTCATCTACCCCTTCCCCATCTGCTTACAACATATAATCACCATGATGGGCTCTGTTGGCTCCAGAATGAAGGTGTCTATGTTGGGCTCTAGAACCGGGTGCAGTAAAACATAGTCTGGATTCCCAGGGGGGGAGAGGCTGCATTTCAGAGGAATAAAGAGACAGCAAGATTTAGATAGATTGGTTGGGAGGAAGAGGGTCAAGTTAGTTCCTCTCTAGGAGTTCTCAAGATACACCTTTAACAATGCAAGTAGTTGCTTTAGTTTGGCAACATTTCTGTGTATAGGTGTGGAACACTGAAGAAAACTCAGCATGTCTTTCTTAATTTTTGGAGCCTGACACCAGGGTTGCTATTAACAACATTTTTTGCTATAACACCAAAAGGGAAAGAGCTCATATTGTCTGCATTAAGGAGGAAAGATTAGGAGACAATTGGAAGGGGAAGGAACCTACAGCTAAATGAGATAAAGCCGGATGTAACTTTTGTTTATAGAAACAGTATTTAGTTTAATGGGATTTACTTAATAGAATTGTGATGTTCTTTTCTGTTTCTATTAAGACATGAAAGAGGTTTAGAGTTTTCTGGATTTGTGGGGAGGGTTGTTGTTTTTGTCAGGTTTTTTTTTTTCAAGAAATGGAGTGCTTAGGGAAAAAAGCTCTTATTCCATGTTTCTGCTCAATGGTTGTTGCAATTCAGACATGTGTACAGAAGGATGGGGGACACTGGATCGGTATGAGGGACCGTTATACTTTTTGTTTACGTATTTATCACATTTCTATATCCCCAATTATTGTCTGAATTATTTATGGTGAAGGGCAGGTTGTCCTAAATCTGGAGGCACATGATTAGTTCTATTTTAGATACAGTATTATCTTAACTTGGGGTTTCTTTTCACCTTGTTTAAGAGAGCTGTGGGTTTTTTTTTTTTAAGATTTGCATAAATAAAGACCTGGGAATGAGGAACCAATTCAGTGCTGTGCATGAGGAAAGAGTGGCCCCTGATTTATGTTGCAGATAATTGTAGCTCGTTGGGTGCCTCTTTGACAAAGAAAGACAATCTGTCTTGCAATGCTCCTCCTAAAATGAGGGCTGTGCATCTGTCTGGGGCAAATGGACTGGAACAATCACTGAAATGGCTCCCTCCTAATGCTCTCCTTTTTGGATCTCCCCTTCCCCCACTCAGATCCTGCAGGAGATGATGCGTGAAATTGATTATGACAGCAGCGGTACTGTGTCTCTCTCTGAATGGCTCCGTGGCGGTGCCACCACTGTCCCCCTCCTGGTGCTACTTGGGCTGGAGACGGTAAGTGCAGGGGACCAAGGCCTTGTTTTGCCTCGGTTCTTCTAACTTAACCATTGAATGTGGCTTTTGATTTTCTTTGTCCAGCATGTTGATTTCTTTGCCTTTCCTGCCCATCATGACAGTAGAGTAGGAGTCCTGGCCTGGCTGGAAAACTCTCACCTCTAGGTGCCTTCTAATAATCCTGCTCCTGTCTCCCATTCTGTTCTGTCACAGGATGAATCAAGTTAAACTTTAAAAAAAAAATAGTTCAAAATCACCCAGAGAACTGAGTCATAAGCAGCACTTTTACTTAAGATGTCTATCCTCTTGTTTTCCTTTTTCTACAGACAACAAACAAGGAATTAACCATTTCTCCATGTGCCTGGGGGGTGTTCTGGCATGCCACTGTTCTGCTATGTCAGCCTAGCCCTAAGTGGGTAGGAACCATGGAGTTAAAGCCCTTAGAGGAATGTTGTCGGTAGTTCAGGGCTGTTTGCAATTTTGCTGCTCTCTCCAGCTCCATTGGGGACTGCAGCAGAATGAATGCATGTGAGGCCGACTGGGGACTGAAGGGGACATTCAACACCATCCTGAAATGGCCATAAAACCTGCAGCTGAATGCCGGATTTCACTTCTGACATAATGAATGGTGAAACAAACCGATTTTACAGCTTTGGCTGTGGGTTGGCTTAAAGGGGAAAACATTACTCAAACAGCTAAGGTGGACTTAAGGCCACCTCGCTCTTGGGCTAGGAACAAGAGGATGGCAGGACAGGACGCAGCAGGAAAAAATGGTCTGAGCAGGTGTGTTCCATGGCCAGGTGCAAGGTTAAAAGGGGTCCTTATTTTCCCCGGCAGCACAGCTGTGTGGTCGCAGAGTGACCTTGGTTGAAAGCTTCTCCACAGCAATCTAATTGCTCTTTGAGGAGGCACGAAGAGAGGTTTCTCTTTTCTGGGATGCTTGAATACAATGGGCATTTCTTCCGCTCCCCCCAATTCAATTGTGTCTGATTCTTGGAGGGTGCCTGGGCCAGCCCACTGTAACTGCATAGCCAAAGAGGCGTTAAGAGTTGTTAACCTAATCCTACGTAGCTTTTTCTCTGGTAATATCCCACTACTAACTACAGCATACAAAACATTTGCTAGACCAATACTCGAATACAGCTCATCAGTCTGGAACCCCCATTACGTATCTGATATTAGCACAGTTGGGAAAGTCCAGAAATATTTCACAAGAAGAATTCTCCACTCCTCTACTCATTGCAGAATACCTTATGCCACCAGACTCGAAACTCTAGACCTAGAAAACCTAGAACTACGCCGCCTGGTTTGCCACTGCTTGCTTCATAGGGCTGAGAGAAAATGACTGGCCCAAGGTCACCCAGCTGGCTTTACACCTCAGGGTAGAACTAGAACTCCCAGTCTCCACCTCAGTGCCTTAACTACTACACCAGACTGGCTATGTAATGGGCATTTAGGCTCAAGCCATTCCATGCATGTTCCAAAAGCAATATTGCTTTTGTGCTCAGGAAAAACAACAACTTTTAGCTCAAATCTTTTCTCTACCTTTATCTTCTGTTCCCACTCAGGGAGCCTCCATACCTCCCCTTCCCTTTGGCTCCCAAACCAGTCACCCTCTAAGCCTCTTCCTTAATTGCCAACTTTCTCCATTGCTTCAGACGATGAAGGATGACGGGCAGCACCTGTGGCGCCTGAAGCACTTTAACCGCCCTGTTTACTGCAACGTGTGTGAGACGCTGCTCTTGGGGCTACGCAAGCAGGGGCTGCGCTGTACTTGTGAGTGTGTTGCTCTGTCCTGGGGTTGTGTGGGAACAGGGGAGGTGGCCTTCCTCCTTTTCTTCCTGGGGGCTCCAGCCCTTTAAGGGCGCTGAGACTGATTTGATGGTGGAAGCAGAAGGAGGAGGTTTCCTCCAGCTGCTGCTTTAGCAGACCTCGTCATAGATCAAATGAGAAGCTGCAATGTTCCAGGTGACCTCACTGACCCATCTCAGCCTAGATTTGTGAGTCCTGGCTGGTCATGGGTCTGACTGAATTGGCCTCAGTAGTCATCCCAGCCCTATCTAAAGACGCCTAGAAAAAAATGGAATCTCCAGTGGGCAAGGCAGCTGTTACGTCATAAAGTTTGATCCTCTTTGGGAATTACTGTCATCCCGTGGCTCTTTATTTATAAGGCCGACCTTTGTTATTTTGATAATTCAAAGGCAGCAAACACCCCTGATACAGGTAGTCCTCGACTTACAATTGAGCCCCCCCAATTTCTGTTGTTAAGAGAGACATTTGTTAAGTGAGTTTTGCCCCATTTTAGGACCTACCTTGCTTCGGTTGTTAAGTGAATCACTGCAGTTGCTAAGTTAGTAACATAGACATTAACTGAATCTGGCTTCCCTATTGACTTTGCTTGTCAGAAGGTCGCAAAAGGTGAACACGTGACCTGGGGACACAGCAATGGTCATAAACATGAACCAGTTGCCAAGCACCTGAATTTTGGTCACATGACCATGGCGATGCTGCAAAGGTGGTAACTGTGAAAAACGGTTGTAAGATGCATTTTTAGTGCCATTGTAACTTTAAACGGTCACTAAATGAACTGTTGTAAGTCACGGACTACCTGTACTCCTTCCTTCTCCTGTTTTCCACACCACAACCACCCTTGAGGTGCTGAGAACAACAGGCCCAAAGTCAGCCAACTAGCTTTCATGCCTGAAGTGGGACTAGAACTCACAAACTCCTGGTTTCTAGCTTGGCGCCTTAACCACTACACTTTTTTTCACTCTTCTTTCAGCAGACAAATACAATAGGATGGTCTCATGTTGTTCAACATATTGTTCTTTTTTATTACCCTTTCTTTTACACTGTAAAAGAAAGCAGAAACGTCCCTTGGAATCTGGTTCACAAGACTGCATAGGCTGGTGAGATGTGGTAAAAATTAGTGGTTAAAGTCAAGCTCAGTTTCCAGGGATTGTGTGGATTGACGGCTGCAGCTCTCTCAATAGCAACAAAAAGGCTATTTTCTGTTGCCAGTTTGGGGGATTTGTTTTTTTCATTTCCTAATCTAGCTTCCAATCCTGATATCCCGTGATGGGCTCCCCATCTACATTTAATCCCCTCTTCTCAATGTGGCTGGCTTCTCAGCTAGGCAATGTCAGCCCCATGCTGCCACCTGCTGTAACACATTAACATTGCCCATCACTAATTACGTTGACAAACATATTTATGGAGCAGTGCATGCGGCACAGCATCCCTAATGGCAGTAACTTAATTTATGCAGAAGCAGTATTTGTATATTCTTAGTTTAAAACAGATGCAGAAGAATTTTGTTATGAATTCCATTTGGATAAATTGGAGGATTTTCCTTCCCTTGTTAAACAAGCATCTGTTTTAAAAAAAAAAATTTTTAGACACATTGCACATATGTGTACATGTGTGCATTCTGTGCTCACAGCAGTGCAGGGCTGTTTGTTCAGGACTATTTTTTCCTGAGAACTTGGAGTATTTGTGTGATTTGGCCATCTAGAAGTTTAAAAGTAGCTTTCTCTGCCTCTGAACAATCTGGCAATTTTTTCCCCTTTGGGTGTTTATAAAATACTCAGTGAGAGAAAGAAAAATGCCATCTCAGAAATCCTCCTTAGCATTCCAAATTCAAAACAATTGCAGCTTGGTTATTTAGAAAAGGTGGAAATCTTTCAACAACAGTCTGCTTAGCGGAAGGTCTAAGAATCAAGGCTGATCTTCAACAAGAAAAAAAAAACTATTTAATTCTCATGTTCTCTTTTCCAAAAGTTCTCTTTTCTTTTTAACTGTATTCTCATCCCAAAGGTCCTTTTTTTTTTTTCAGGAGGCAACTACACTTTCCTGTTTTTCTTTTCTTTTGAAGACATTTCACTTCTCATCCAAGAAGCTTCTTCAGCTCTGACAGGATATGGGGAATGGAAGAGTCAGAGCTGAAGAAGCTTCTTGGATGAGAAGCAAAATGTCTTCAAAAGAAAAAACAAGAGAGACCTGTTACCTCCTGGGGAAAAAAAGCATCTTTGGGATAAACATGACTTGGACGACCGAGGATCTCTGTCTCATCACACACTAAACTGGGTCATTAAACAGGTTGCTATCATGCAAATATTTAAATCAGCAGTGAGGTTAGAGAGAGGCTTGCTTTTATCCTACAAAAGCTAATCTTCTGTGGTCAGCCAAGTCATGTGAACATAGAAGAGAGGTTTAATAGCAGGTTAACCCTCTTTTCTGGGCAAACTTCCAAAATGTTCCTGGGGAAAAGCAAGAATTCTTGAGAAACTTTTCCTCTGGTTCTTTACAGTCTTGTCTGGAGATAAACTTGACAGAAAGAGATTCAGGGTGTGTCAACCTCTTCCAATTTTGCCTGTGATGGTGCCGATCCTGAATGGATCGCTCCCCACAGATATTTTCCAATTTGGTTTTTTGCCTAGCTGGATTTCTTTTTTTTTAATGGCTGCTGGTCATTTGACCAGGCCTTCCCTGCTTATCTACTGCTGGCTCGTGGGCAGGGGTGGGAACTGGTTCTGTGGGCGTGGCTAGGTAGGTTTGACTAGGTAGGCGTGGCTTCTTTTTTTTTTTTTTGCAGCACCCTCTGCCCTGTTTTTTTGTCTCCTGGGCCCCAGGGAAGCCACCTGGGGAAGAATTTTTGCTCTCAGAAGGCTTCCCTGGCCCCCCCTGTGCTCCATTTTTTGCCTTCCTGGCTCTCAGGGAAGCCTCCTGGACAAAGCAGTAAGACAGCGAGGGGGATCCCGGAACAGCTGATAATCAGAACAGCTGTTCGTTGGGAGGGGGGGGAAAAGAAATACCTTAAGGAGTGACTGGGCAGGGGAAAACGCAGTCAGTGATGTCGCGCATGCAATAAGGACTGATTGGGAGGGGAGGGGCCAGCCAGGGGCATGATTTGTCAGTTCTCCGAACTGCGCAGAATCATAACAACTGGTTCTATAGAACCGTTCCAAACTGGTAGGATCCTTTATCCAGGATAGCAATGGAGTAGTTCAGCTGTTTCACATGGATCTCTATGTTTGAAAAAAAAAACGGTTAAAAAAATATACGGGTGAGGAAGCTATGGGGAAAGAGGGGAGGAAAGGAGATGTTACACTAAGCCCATAGGATCACATTTTAGGCAGAGAAGCTGCTTGGAGGATAACGGGGCTTCTTTACTTTCTACCACCATAGCATCTCATTGAATCCATCTTCCTTTCCCCTCCACAGTCTGTAAGTATATCGTGCATGAGCGCTGTGCTCGGAAGGCTCCTCTCAGCTGTATCAGCACCTATGCTAAGAACCGCCGTGACACCAATGTAAGTAACCCACCAAGGATGAGTTCTGCACCCATCAGCCAGACTTCTGTATTTCTGCCTTCCTTATCCAGGATTTCTGCTTTCTCTGTTTCTATTGGCTCCTCCATCTTCCCAACCTGTCCATTCTTCTAAGAAGTCTATGTGTTTCTAGTCCTCAACATGTGAGATCGAAATAGCCTTATTCTGTTTGTTTTTATTTTGACTCCTTTCCTTTCCTTTGCTATGGCATGAGTGTCATAACCGCCTCTAGAAGTCTTTTGGAGGAATGAATGTATTTCCCAGCTGTAGGTCTCTCAGCACGCAACACAAACTGGAAAATAGTACATTCATTCCTCCAGGAGACAGGGAAAAAGCAGATGGCAACCACAAAGGACAATGTTTTTAAAAAGACAAAATTGCCTAAATTAATATTTCATTTAAAAAATATGTTTCTGGTAGTGGCTAATTAGGTATCTTATTTATTTGTTTGTTTATTTGTTTATCAAATGTATTAGCCCTCTATCCTACCATAGGGTACCTCCAAGGTATTTCCAGAAGTGTGTAACAGATAAGAAACCTTTATGTATTTTTGCTACTATTTTTCAAATTATAGGTAATCCTCAACTTATGACTGTAATTGGGACCAGAAATCCAGTTGTAAGTCATTATAATCATAATGTGATGGGAAGTAATTTCCCAGTCTTTCCCCTAGTAGTCATTAAACAAACACTGCTGTTGTTAAGTGCACCCATTCATTTAAATGAATGTTTTGCCAGAAACCTGCAAAAAAAAAATGCCAGAAACTGGCAAAATCCAGTGTGAATTGTGACTATGTAATTGCATAATGCTGCAGTATAGCTTACCTGCTCAATGTGTGGTCACATGACCATGGAGCGGGACAGGGCAACCATACACAACAGCTGGAGGAGCCTTATTATAGGCTGTAAAGCACTCATTCCATGGCTGTTGTTTCTTCAAATTGTAATAAAATAACCCATCATAAGTCAAGGACTACCTGTAGCAATGATTTAGCAAATAAAGTAGCAAATAAAGAGGGCAGAGGAACCATGTGTGGCTTCTAGTTGCCCACCTGTGCTGTTGTCTAATCCTGAAGACTTTAAGTGAGTGATCGAAACTTCAATTTGTGCTTTGTTTGGAGAACTTACAGTATTCTTACTCTTAACTAAATTGCCTGTGAATGAAAATGAGAATGTCAAAAAGAGAATGTTAATGAGAATATCAGGAAGATCCTAGGAGTTCCCATCCCTTCCTTTGTCCTCACTTCAGTTTCTTAGACCTCCCTTTTGAAGAGTGTCAAGTAGGAAGAACTTGTAACTTGGAGGCTAAAGTTCTGCTGTTCTCTCTTTCTTTCTTTCTTTCTCTCTCTCTCTCCCTCCCTCCCTGGATTCCTCACTTATTATTATTCCTCACTTCCCTCCTGTAGGTGCAAGCACACGTTTGGGTAAGAGGGGGCTGTGATGGCAGTAAGTGTGACAAGTGTCAAAAGAAGATCAAGAGTTTCCAGAGCCTCACAGGCATGCACTGTGTCTGGTGCCATCAGAAGGCAAGCTGCTCCATGTCTCCATGATTTGATTTAAAAGGGGATTCTGGCGTCAGAAATCAGGAGGGGCTTTTCATTAGATGGCTCTTATTCTGTAGGTAGTTCATACGCAAGAAAAATTCATTTGTCCAGCAGGAAAATTTGGGGAAATACTAAATGGAAAAGAGGATTTAAATGAGGGTTTCAAAAGAGCAGAAACCATAACTATATCTACTCTTTGCCTATTCATAGATTAGGCTGTCCAACATTTGTGGTGACCCAATGGAAATTTTGCCACAGCTAGATAATTTTTATGCAGTCTGAAAATATGTTTCACCGTTTTAGAGATATTGTCTACACAAACGTATTTTGAAGATTGTTGGGATTCTCCAGTTTATTTCTCAGGTTATAGACTCACTTTATTTTGAATACTGACTCTTTCATGGATAGAGTTAGATATGGGGTTAGAAGAGCCGAGGCATAAATGAGGCTGTTCATTGTTTTACAAGCTGCCTTTACAAGACATCATTTTTGCAAAAGCATTGAATTTGTTTTCATATCAGCATACCTAGTTTTCATATATGGCGTAAATCTAGGCATCTTCCAAGACATTGCAATCATTTCTTCCAAAATTAGAATTTATACACAAACCAATTTTTAAAATCAACTCAAAGTAGTGGGGTTTTTTTTCTCTTGCTTTGTGATACAGAAAGCAAAATTATAAGTGTTGAACCCAGACTGATGTTCCCTGGGAGAGGGAAGACAAAATGGATCCTGAGATTTTGGAGGGTGTCTCTGCCTGTTTTCAGTGCCTTCTTCATGGCATTGAGAAACACTCTGTGTCTTGATCTTTTAGATTCATGATGAGTGCCTGTCTCTCATGCCTTCCACCTGTGACTGCGGGACTCTCAGAGACCATATCCTGCCACCTTCAGCAATATACCCTGTTGTACTGGTGAGAGCAAGTAGTTTTTTGAGACAGTTGTTATAATTAGCAATCCTGTTGTAGAAACTTAAAGGCAGTTTTTAACGAGTTTATATTACATGAAATCAATGTGTGAGGGTTCCTGGGCGCTCTCTACACTTGGTTGTTCAGTACTGATGATATTACATAGTGTGAATAATGAAACTTTGGCAAGAAAACAACAACACTCAGAGGGCACCAAAAACCCCTCATTTCAAACCTGAATTACAAATATTATCCTTTATTGAGATCAGTGTTTCCCAATCTGAGCCATTTTCAGATGTGTGGACGTCAACTCCCAGAATTCCCTAGCCAGTCACACATCTGAAAGTAGCCAAGATTGGGAAACACTGATATACAATAGATCAACTATTCCCACAAGGGATTGTACAGAGATGTTACACTATAACATCGGTCACTCAACAGCTTGACTGATAAAAGGTTGACTGTTTCTCATCCAGCACAGAGGAGAGAGGGGAAAAGTAGACAAGCATGCTTGTTCAGGTTACAGATCTTTTTGTGTTGTTTTGCATGTGCTTGGACTGTAGCAGAGATATTTAAAGCATGTCTTTAAAACACACACACACACACACACACACACACACACACACACACACAAAAGGAAAGCAAACATTGCCAATTCTTGGGAGGAAAGAAAAATCCTTAGTTGGGCAGTGTCTTTATTAAGAGCAGCCCAAATGCCAGGAAAACTTGGAATGCAAACTCCTGAGTTCTCCAAAACTGTTCTTCAAAAGGGTACATAAAGCAGCTGATGGAAAAGAAAAAAAAACTAAAAAAGAAAAGAAAAACAGGGCTTGCAGTGAGTCATTTATGATGTTGATGCACTGCAAGAGATATTTTGGTCTATTTCCTCTTTTGGGTGGAATGGCCCAAAGCTATTTTTAAACTGTTTTAGTTTCATTCCTTTGGGTGGTAGTGCACCCTCCTGTATGTGTCGCCCTCATGAAGAATGTAGGTTTCGTTGAGATTCAAATTGCCTTTATCAGATGCCACTTACAGCGTCGTTGAATCTACAAGAGGAGAATCAGAGGGAGGGGGCCATAGCTCAGCAATAGGGCATTCAGAAAACTCACTGTTTACCACCTTGTGTTCCTTGAGAAGGTCTACAACATTGCTGTAGACCGGGGAGTGTACAGCCTTGGCAACTTTAAGAGCTGTGGACTTCAACTCCCAGAATTCCCCAGCCAGCACCCCTGCTGTAACCTGAGCCATATTTTGACTTTGAATAAAGCACCTTCCGATATTCCTCCAAGCAATCTGCAATAGAAGCACACTCACCTTGTTTCTGACGTACACTCACACTTGTTTTCTGTTTTGAGAAGTTGTATAAAATGCTTGTTTTGCGGGGGAGGGATTGCCAATCGTGGAATTTCCCCCCACCCCTCCATTTTCAGAACAGGCTGTTGAGTAGATGAGCTGAGCTGACTTTGCATCAGTGAAGGTCTAACCCCAAGCTGCTCCTTTCAGCCTTTTCCAAACTATAGTGATAGGATAGTGGGGAATCCTTCCATTCCCCACCATCCAGTCAGAGCTGAAGAAGCTTCTTAGATGTGAAGCGAAACATCTTCAAAGAAAAACAAGAAAGTCCAGTTGCCGCTTGAAAAAGCCCCTTTGGGACATCAAGAGAGGAGATGTTTTTTATAGGCCATACCTGTGCTGTTCCGACCCCAAAAATTTTCTCCCAGCTCTGGATCTTCTGATTTGTCCGATCTCCCGCTCTTCTTTCTCCGGTGTGTCACAGGAGCGGCAGAACAGCCAAAAAAACGGGACCCCTTCAGATGAACCAGCTCAGCCATTCACTACTCCCGAGGGACAGGCCTTGCGGGTAAGTCTGAGGTAAAGTGGACAGAGCTGGTTGCTAGCACATGATCCCTCATTAGAGCACTTAGCTCTCTGAGCACTCCCTGCTGTCTAGGGTTGAGGTGAGAATGCTTCCAGTTCTGCTGTGTGTATTTTTTTTTTAAAAAAAAAGTACTTTCATGCTGAAATGATTGTTATTAGTACTTGTTAGAAACCAGGGTGAGCAGAAGCAATTGGCACATTTCCAACGTTGTTGTTTCGTTTGGTCATAAATCAGGTGCTGCGGTCTGTGAATTTAGCCAGAGAAAGACCTGCAGGGAAAGTATCTTTTGCCTGTAACTCATAGCTGGGGCTTCAGTTGCCAATAACAGAATCTCTAAACTTGGCCACTTTATGGCTTGTGGACTTCAACTCCCAGAATTCCCCAGCCAGCAGGTCTGGCTGAAGGATTATGGGAATTGAAGTCCACAGTGCTTAAAGATGCTAAGTTTGGAGACTCCTGACCAAGAAGAGCAGGTCTTGTGGAGGCCATAATCCGAGTCAGGTGGTCTGCTATATCTGGCCCAGTAGACACAGGCAGAGCCAAGAGTCAGAGGAACAGGGCATGGTTTCCAACGGGAAGAGAGAGGCTGGGAGATGCTCTTAGTGACCTGGGGTTCAAGGCCTTGCCTAAGTGGAGAAACTGATGCCCTTTCCTCTCTAGGAGACATGTCAATTTCCACTGTGTGGCTCTCCCTTAGCATACTTGAAGGCTCGGCACCTTCTGAATTGGCAGTATGGGTGCCCATAGAGGGGAACTGGGAGGCAAATGATAAAAGCAGGGTTATGGGCCACATTGCAAGCCCCATTCTTTTGTACATGTGTTGCGACATCACACGCAGACAACATGGGCAGAGCTGTTTCACAATGCTGAAAGTATCAGATCCTGCAGGTGCCTCTGAACAGCAGTCATCTGTGCTGAATCTAAATTGCTACATAGATAGTCCTCAACTTAAAACCGTTTGTTTAGTGACCTTTCAAAGTTACAATGGCACCAAAAACACTGAATGTGGTCCATGCATTTAAAGCCATCTCAGCATCCCGACAGTCACACGGTCAACATTTGGATGCTTGGCAACCAGCACTGTATTTATGATGGTTGAGGTATCCTGGGGTCCTAAGGTGGCCCTATGCGACCTTCTCATCTAATTTCTGACAAGCAAAGTTGACGGAGGATGTTGGATTCACTTAACTGCAATGGTTGACTTAATCGTAGCCCAAAAAAAAGGTTATAAAATTGGGCACCGCTCACTTAACAACTACCTTACTGGTCCCAATATTGGTCATGGGTCGAGAATGACTTCTACCCAGATGACTGATTGCTTGCAAGGGTAGGCTGCTAGGGGTTCACCCGTACCCGTACCTAATGTTATGGCCAATTTGGTGAACCACCAAATCCTACCCCTGGCTGGCCCCACCCACCCCGCTCTTCCCAGGAGTCTCCACGTGACCCATTTTGGATGCAAGGTATGTGCGGGGGCCACACGGAGGCTTGGGGAGGGCAAAAAATGAGGCCGTTTTCACCCTCCCAGAGGCTGAAGGAAAGCCTCTGGAGCCTGAGGAAGGTGAAAATGCCCCCCCCCATGGTGCAGGAGGCTGGCTAGGCCACACCCACCATGGCCACGCCCACCCAGCAACGGGGCAGAGAACCGGTTGCTAAAATTTTTGAAGCTCACCCTTGACAGCTTGTTGTGTCTCAGCTACAGGACAGGGGTCTGTCAGGTTCTCCTCTTCAGCCTTGGAATCAGAGGAGGGTAAAAAAGGGATATTCAATTCATCGAATTCAAATGTGACAAATTGTGCAGGTCCTGATATTGCTCCAGTACTCCTAGCTACCTTGGCCGAGAATGAAAAATGCTGGGAGTTGTGATTCAGCAACACATCTACAGAAAAAGGGCCAGAGGGAAGGATGAATGGAAGTCCCTCCCTCCCATCCAGCTGTCTGTCAATCCCTGCTCTCTCCTGCCTTTCCATTTGGAAAGGAAGCCTATTTTAGAACATTCCAGGCCTCTTCTGAAAAATACTCTGTCATGATTCAGAAGCAGGAAAAGTAGCCACTCAGCCAGAGCCAGCTGCTTCTCACTGCAATGAAAGGTTTGTCAGATCAGAAATTGCAAACCCAAGGCTATTTCTGGTAGGTGCATCTAGGGATTAATGTGCCTAGATATTTGCATGATTGATTTTACTTTAACCATTAAAGGAGACACACATATTTATGTTTAAAGCTGATTTACTATGTTCATAGCAATAAGGAGAATTGCTATGTACAGCTTGTTACCCATAGACCCCTCTGGGAATAAAGCTTACAATAAATCCATGTAGCTGCATGATTAGACTTGATGTCATTTCTGACTACCCAGCCCAATTTACCCCTGTTTTTTCTATCTCTGTATGTGCTGTGCTGTATCCCAACCTGCATCCTGTTGTCACAATGCAGGGCAATCAGATTTGGCCATTTACCAAGGCTATTTGTGTTTCTAACCCCTTTCCACAGATCATCCCTTTGCCTGACACACACCCCTTGCTTGTCTTTGTCAACCCTAAGAGTGGTGGAAAACAAGGAGAGAGGTGAGAACGGAGTAGGGTTGGAAGTGCAAATGTGGGAATAGGGCAGGCGCGGCCTCTTAGGATAAATTAAGCCAACTTTGCTTTTGAATTCAAGCAAACCAAGTTGTTTTCATAACATTTTTTTTCTTTTTCCCCCAAATATTTCTGTTTGGCGTAATATTAATCCTGAACTGCCTATATAATGCCATGAGTCCAGTATCGGTAATGGAACCTCAAAATTAAATTTTAAAAATACACATTATACATTTCTAAAAGTTTGGAGTAATGATTAAGGCACCAGGCTAGAAACCGGGAGACTGTGAGTTCTAGTCCCACCTTAGTCGTGAAGCCTGTTGGGTGACTTAAGGCCAGTCATTCTCATCCTGAGGAAGAAGAAAAGCCATGGTAATGGCTTCTGAAATCTTGCCAAGAAAACTGCAGGCAGTTGCCAGAAATTAACATTAACATTATATTTGCCTGAAAATTTGCAGGTTTTCTGCAGAGAGGTTGCTGAAAATTTACCAAACATGGGACATATTTAATTTTAATATGTTTTTTTTTTTAATGTTGGCCTCTATTGCTGTAAAGGTGGCCAGTTCTGGTGTAGATTTGATTTTTCCTTCGTGTTTGGGAAGGTCCTCAAGGGACCTAGAATTGATGCGATCTACAGGTCCCTGCATTCCTGTTTGATGGGATGCAATATTTATTTCTCTGTCAAAATGGATTTCTAGTTCAGATTTCAGTGCAGTAGGGATTTTTGACTGGTTATGTCTTGTTGATAGAGTGCTGCGGAAATTTCAATATCTCCTGAACCCACGACAAGTTTATAACTTATTAAAGGGAGGTCCTGGACCCGGGTAAGTTAATGTGAACTTTTGCACACCAATTTGATTTTCCTGTTTATCTATATTTCGCACGTTTTGCAGGATCAGTAGCTAATTTTTGTGTGTGTGTTTTTGTCCCAGCCTCAATTTTTTCCGAGATATACCAAATTTCCGTATCCTAGTTTGTGGTGGTGATGGCACCGTGGGATGGATCTTGGATGCCATTGGTAAGTATTGTTTATATAGTTTCATTAAATATTTTTTAAAAGGGAATTAAAAACTAATACCAAATAATAGAAATAGGGGGGGAAAGAAAAGAAGAAGAAATCAAAGAAAAAGCTAAAAGTGCAAGAAAGGAAAAAGAAAAAAGAAAGAATAAGATACAAAGAGGTAGCTGCCAATATTTTTTATAGCAGTTTTAAGAACAATTATAAATTTATCTCTTACTCTATGGTTACAACATAACTCTGTTCTTTCTATAATCTATTCTGTCTAATCATCAAAACCACAAATCATAAACTCATTTTTTTCTTTTTCATGCAAAAAAAGTCTGTAAAGAGTTTTTATACTATCTTTTCTCTGTTCAAAGAAATCAAATTAAGCATCTCTCTGCATGTTTTATCATAATCGATTATGACTTCATTGTGAATAATACCAAATCTTTCCATTTGGGGCATACAATAATCTCACTGCGTGTATAAAACAAAGTTTCATGACTTTTTTCCCAACTTTTTATCCATCCCAAAAGTAAAACCTCTGGTTTCAACTGTATATTAATCTTTAAAAGTCCTCTAAGTCAGCGATCGCCAACCAGTGGGCCGTGAGAAAATTTTGGTGGCCCGCAGAGAAATCTCGCCCTCAGAGCACCCCCACAAAGCAATTAATTCAGGCTGCGCAGAAACACCAAGCTGCTGCGTTGCCCACATGGCTCGTGGGAACCCTCCCTGCCCACTCACTCCTTACCTGGTAAACTTGCCTGCTAAATTGCTATTTTTCCTTTTTCCGATCATCATCTGTTCTGCTGTGCCGGGAGATTTAGATTAGCTAGGAAGCAGGAAATGGTTGGATTTCTTGCTTTCTAGCTACTCTTTAGATCTTCATCTCAGCACAGCCAAACCTCCCTTACAACTGAAGGTTTGCTTGCAAGAAAATTCAGTGCAGTCTCACAACAAGCAAATTTGAGAGACAGAGCTAGCCGATGGCAGATAGATAGATCACTGAATGATTCTGTGAGCAACTCAATTAGCCTGCTTTACCTGATTTTGGTAAAAGTTGCTCTTTTTTAATAAAAAATTCAATATTTACATACATGGTGTGTTGTGAGTTAATTTTATGAGTTTGCTTGCAAGCAAATTTATGTGACAGACTGAGCTAACCAATGGCAGATAGATAGATCTCTGAATGAATCTGTGATTCTGTGAGCAACTCAATCTGCCTGCCTGCTTTGCCTGATTTTGGGTAAAAGTTGCTCTTTTTTAATTAAAAAAATCAATATTTAAATCAATATTTATAATATTTACATACAAGCCATGCCCAGCCAGTCACATGGCCACCAAACCACACCCACAAATTGGGCCATGCCAACAGAACCGGTTAGTGGTTCCTGGGATCTAAAATTATGAGTTTGGTGGTCCCTGAAGTCCAAAAGGTTGGTGACCCCTGATCTAAGTAGCACATGTATTTGAATCCAGAATTTTTTAGCTTTTTTATACATCCACCATCTTCTTGTTCACATTTCCAAAACAAACTTGAAGGGCCTTTATATATTATAGACAATTTCTCTGATGACATATACCTATAGTGTGTTATTTTATAAAAATTCTCATTAAAATAATTATAATGTTAATTTCAATTCTTTCAACCATATATTTTCTCATTGTTTCATCTGTATATTATAACCAAAAAAATTAACCCACTTTATTATACATTCTTTCATTTTTTACTTCCATTTCATATTTCAATAAAATATGTTCATTATTCATATACATTTCTATTTCAAACTGTGCTTTGTCTATATTAACTCTATATTAATAAATAAGAGAACCCTCCCTGACACCTATATTCCCTCTGTTACCAATTCTTTTCTTGATTTTATTTTACATTCCCTTTGACAACATTTTATTATCTTGTGTAAAGTTAACCATTTATGTTTGCCTACTATTTCTTGTGCATAAAACACTTCTTGTGCTGAGAGACACAAAGGTATTTTCAGGCACAACCTGCCTTTGTATCTATTCCCATATTCTTAATACAATAATAGCATATCTAATATAATGGTTTTAAAAATCCACATTAATCTTGGCTTTATTATATTAATATTTACATTATATTATATTAATATTTGAAAAACATGGCTATGGTTTCTTGGTTGCTGAGGATCATTAAAACAATATTTTTGCACCAAAACCCAAAGGCCCATTAAAAGTACCATTAACAGGCTTATAATTCCTACTAACTGGTTGTCAACTAACTTCCCTAACTTTTCATTCATGGCATTATATAGAAAAAGACCTATTGCCAAATTCTAACAAATTATGCACAGATTATTTTCACATTACTTCCTCCTCAGATAAAGCCAACCTACCAAGTCGGCCGCCAGTGGCTGTCTTGCCTCTAGGAACTGGCAATGATCTGGCCCGCTGTCTTCGTTGGGGTGGAGGTGAGTTAACCGTTTCCAGCAAGCCCAGCAGCGCTTCTTTCTGCTACACCTATGAAGCCCAAAGCTTGAGCATTCATTTTGATCTTGTGAAGAGCATCTGTCATATATCTCTTCTAAGATCAGATTATGACCAGCGAGCTTACTGAAAATCAGCATGGGAAGGAACTTGAGAGAAAGTTAAACAAACTCATAAGCTTGGTCTGGAGTTATAGATTCTGGGTGTGATCTGTTGTGATTTCAGGAGATTCCAAAACTTGGCACCTGAATCCATCCCCATTTCTGGGATATCCTAGACCATACCATATTCATCCAAGGAATGGAAATGATTGGTTCAAGCTGAGACCTTTTTGTTTTTTACTAACAAGAGTTCTGCATATATAAAGATTGCAACAATTAAGGAAAGAAATGCGGTAGTGAAACTAATCAGCCTCTGGCCCAGTGAATTTCAGAGAAGCAGTGAATTGATAATTTAAAACATAGTTTGGAGTCTTGAGAGGGTGATTAGATTGAAACTTAATCAAAACATTCTAAACTCTAGTAGGGAGTGAAAATTATTTGTCCTGGGGAAAAAGAGAATAGAGAGAAGTTTAGGATTTTTTTCACTTGGCTTGCTTTTATGAATTGGAGTATTGACTAAAGTGGAACTAAGTAATGAAAGAAAGACCCTACTTTATATTGGGGAGAGAAGTTGCCTTAAGGCCATTGTTGACTCGTGGCATCTGCCTTGATTAGTCCCTGGAGTTTTCTTGGCAAGATTTCAGAAGTGGTTTGATGTTGCCTCCTTACAGCTGAGAGTGACTAGCTCAAATTCATTGCTTCATTAAGTTGGTTTCTTTTTACCTCTGTTGTGGATACTTGTAATTACATTCATCTTTCTGTTCCTACTGTATATTCTGTAACTTTAATTTGTAATGAAATAATTAAAATTAAGGAAAACATTTAATGGTTTGTAGTGCCTGCAATTTGGCAGTTCAGATCCCACCAGGCTCAAGGTTGACTAAGCCTTCCATCTTTCTGAGGTAGATAGAATGAGGACCCAGATTATTGGGGGCAATGAGTTGACCCTGTAAAACCACTTAGAGAGAGCTGTAAAGCACTGTAAAGCAATATATAAGTCTTAGTGCTATTGCTATTGCTAGTTGGGAAAAAGGTGAAGTCAAAATTGAAATAAACCCCATTTAGAATAAACTTCAATAAAACAATTAGACTCCCCTTATATTCTACCTTGAACCTCAACTTATAGAGTTTGAATTCATATAATCATAGTTGAACATATGACTCCAAGGATTAATAACACACCAGTTATTATAAGATATAGCCAATAAGAGGGATAAAGTCCAGCTGGGGCACTCTTATTTCAGATCTTTACTCAGTCGTATAATTTCTGCATTCTTTTCATGGTCACTGCCTTTCTTGGCAGGAGTAAATTATCAAAAGGACAGCTACCCATGTGAAATGAATCAACTTCTGACAAAATTAGCTCGGTATCACAACTGTTCTCCATTCTGGCTTCGGTTATTCCACACTAGCAATTTATAGCCTCTTCTAGAGTTATCCAACTATTTTTGTGCCAAAAATAATAGTAAAGCAGGCAGACTTTATGTCAATTCACTGATGGATAGGTGATGCAGTGGAAATTTTTAAGGTGCTAGTATGAAAAAAAACCCTTAGTTTTTTCCTTAAATCACAGTACCAATATGAACAATAGCATATAAATTAGTATTAATATATAAGCAAGAAAAAAAGCTTGAACTGCCTGGATGCATTCATTCATAGCTGAAAATTGCCTGGTCAAAATGAGAAGAGGTCAGATGATAAAGATTTTAGAGTTAAGGATCTAACCCTTTCCTAAATAGTGTGATCGTAAATCAGTGACCCTTAATTCTCCCAACTAATGCTCTGCTCTTTCCCAGGTTATGATGGTGAGAATCTGGTAAAGATACTGAAAGATATTGAAGCAAGTAGCATCATACAGATGGATCGCTGGTCAGTGCAGGTGATGCCAGATAACCCAGATGAGAAAGGCGACCCTGTGCCCTATGAGATCATCAATAACTATTTCTCCATTGGCGTAGTAAGTAGGAACAGATGGAAACACAAGAGAAGGGTCATCCTTTGCTCAAGAAGGCAAAGAGGGGGTATTTATTCTCTACATATACTGAGAGAAAGAGTAGCAATGATGCTGGGACTGTTGTAACCTTGATGTTGCCCCTGAGGATAGTAGGTCCAGAAAGAAAATGGCCATCATAAACAGCCACAGTAATGAAAAGAAAGGAGGAGGCAAGATTTAGTAACAGGGAGATGGATGTGGTGGAATCTTCAGTTAGACTCGAGGGAGGTGTTAAGAGTGGGCCAAGCTTAGAGTCCTTACCCTGCAGGAAGTGGCACAGGCCTGACTTTCCCCAGAATTACTGAAACCTTATCAGACCGTGCCCAAGGGAACGAAGTCTGTCTGGCAAGATTCTTATAACATAGGTGACCAGCAATAAAGCTTCTGTTTGAAACTATTCATCATTGGTTGTGGTAACTTGTGCCCGACAGTGGTAGTTTTGGAATGACCAAGAGTTGGTGCTCATGGGTTTAAGAAATGGAAGGGGAGAGTTAATCCCATGGTTATCTCTGTCCTGAGATATCTCTCATCTCCACAAAGCACTTCTTCAGCCCTGACTTTCTCTTTTTCACTTTCCTTTTCTTCAGGATGCTTCAATTGCCCACCGATTTCATGTCATGAGAGAGAAATACCCAGAGAAATTTAACAGCAGGTTAGTTCAGTTGTGAAAGTGGGTAGAGGGGTTCCCGGTGCTGCTATCGCGTCCCTTTTCAAGACTGCTTTGGCAATTCTGAAATCTCAAAGTCTTCCTATGAAACTTGATCTAGTACTTTTGTGTTCAACTCTGCCTCTAGAAATGTTCCTACTCCCTTTGACACCCTGATTTGATTTTCCTGGGAATATATAAGGACAGCTAGTCACACAGAGAGGATGGCTCTGCACTGGGCAGTGGAAAGTGAATACCTGCCATGGGGGGTGGGGCTCCTGGTTGGCAAGTCCTGCCGGTGGATGTGCTTGCCTGGGGAAGAAGGGGGGCTCAACCACACACCCTCTTTTCATTGCTCCTTTTCTGCTACTCTATTCTTTTCCGAATAGGATGAAGAACAAGCTCTGGTATTTTGAATTTGCCACATCGGAGACTATCTTTGCCACATGCAAAAAGCTCAAGGAGTGTTTGTCAATAGAGGTGAGCATTTCCTTTGTGGTCTTGAGGTGATCGCTGTTCTGGGTTGGGAAAATAGTTCACTCCTGTAGCCAGCATGCAATTCTTTGCAGCAGCGTCTAACGCAGAGTCGTGCTTTAGGTCCAAAATGATTTTGTTTTGGCCTGGCACGTTATGTTTCCCATGAACACGTGCAAAGTGTTTTTCTTTCTTTGACACTGATTAATTGCATTTTTGGCACTAGGACTTCTACCTCAGGCAAAATAGTCAATAAGAAGCTTGAGTTCTCGAACTCCTTGTTCCTAGCGCTGCCATTCCTGCAAATTTACCCAGCCGTGCAGGAATGGGTTTAGAATTTGGATTCTATAGTGCTGTTCAAATTATTGCATTTCTTTTTTTAAAAAAAACCAATTATCGTCTTGCTCACCTTCTTTTTTTCATGTATGTCTCTACCAGTGCTGTGGGCAATCCCTGGACCTCAGTGGAGCCCTCTCTGGAATAGCTGTCCTCAATATCCCTAGCATGCATGGGGGTTCCAACCTCTGGGGTGAGACCAAAAGACCTTTGGGGGAGGCAGCGGCACGAAGCACAGCCGGAGGAGCAGCACAGCCTCAAGTCATCACTGAAACTGAGATCCTGAAGAACTGTGTGCAAGGTGAGCCAGGAGAGTGGGTGGATGGTACAAAGCTTGGAGCCTTGTAGATTGGACATTAGTACTGGTAGTAGGTACAACAGCGAAAGGCAGGCATGGCTTGAGAGGGTGAATGAAGAATGATTTCTAAGAGGACAAGCTAGATTAATACTCTGCTGCCCTTTCTGAAACATTGCCGTGAGGACTTTCTCGGGGAGCTTGAGATGATGGGGTGACTTTTCTTCCCTCTGGTTTTTCCCCCCTCCAATTCCTTATCCAGATCTGAGTGATCGACGGATGGAGGTGGTGGGCCTGGAGGGTGTGTTTGAAATGGGACAGATCTACACAGGTTTGAAGAATGCAGGCACGCGGCTGGCTAAGTGCTCTGAGATCACCCTGAGGTAGGTGGGCCATCAAGTCAATGGGTGTATTGTCTCCTCTTGTAGTTTCTGTTTGGAATTCTGGCAGCCTTTCCCCCAATTTTCCCAAAGGGGCATGTATGTGGTACATGTAAAATAATAAGGATGCCCCTGTGAACCTTTAGAGTAAATGCCTGTTAATGGCAATTGACACCCTTCTTAGTTGGGCTGAGTCGAATCAATATCCTTATATAGAATGACTCAGTGAGTGTTCTTAGGCAGCCATTATCCCTGAGCCTCATCCCACCTCCAAATCTGCCATATGAGACTAAGAATATTGACCATAAAGATTGCTGCTGGGGAATGCCCAACCAGGCTGGTGGAGGAGGGCTCAAGTGGGGAATCATTGAATCATTGTGCAGTTACAAGAGATCTAGGGTTGAGCTCCTGCCCAGTCCATAGGACTTAATTTATTTATTCCCAAGTGAAGGCAAGCAGTTTGGGAAGATTCCTGTATTACAGACAGAATACAATGAAGTAGTTAGTGAACTCTACACACGTGGATCTGGTTTTTTTCACCTGAGAATTGCTGTGTTAATATGTGATACGAAGGTGTGATGGTCCTGGCTGCAATATAGACAGATAAAGACAGGAAATCAATACTAAGGTGCCCCATATTTACTGTCATCTTCAGTATTTGTTCTTTAGATAAATGCATGAGAACCTCTATAAAATCTGAATATTCATCATGTCAACTTCCTGTTTTTCTCATGTCCTTTTTGCAGAACCTTCAAGCATCTCCCCATGCAAATCGATGGAGAGCCATGGATGCAAGCACCATGCACAGTAAGCACCACCCCTCCTAAGGTCACATTCTATGTTTTGTAGCATTGGGTATGAAGTCCTGTTTTGGTGAAGCCATAGAACTCCTTATTACAGAAGGCTTGCTATTCAGCTCAAGTGCACAGCTGGTGCATTCTGGTAAAATCTGAAACTTGCAATGCGTGAGCCGCTGGAATATGAAAATTGCTAGGAACAGTTAATGAGAGGGCTTCATTACTTTAAGCTAATCCACCAAGGCAGACATTTCCTGAAAATACATGTAAGCTACACTGTTTCAAATCAAAAGGGATTTCAAGATGTCCATCATCAATGAGTACCAATTAAAAGCTATCAAAAACAGATGAGTTTTTAAAACAGTCTTGAAAGCAGCTATGGATAGGGCCAGTTGCCTTCTGTGAGGAAATTTTATAAAAGAGGGCCACTGAGAAATGTTCGTTCTATCTCTTGATCAATAAGAAGGTTGTAAAAGGGATCTTAAAAGTTAACCCAGTTCATGTTATGTGAAGGCAAACCTCAAGCTTCAAATGTTCATTGGCTGATCTTAGTGTAGCCAATAGAACATTTTTACCACCAGCCACTTTCTTACAACAGTGGTCAGGGAGCATCTGGACAATGAAGAATAAATGATTATTTCCAACAGTGATCTTTATCAGCATGCAGTATAATTGATGCAGTGGAATATGATTAAAGCATTTCCCCTTTATCAGGATTTTTGCATGGAGCAAGAGAAAGTGACTGCATAATATATTTAATCAGATAATTTTAAGTGCTGTTGTATTATGCAAATTCAATAGCCTGAGCCTTTCTTGACTAGGAACATCCATCACCACCAAGGTCTCTGACTTAATTGTAGAGTTACTTATTCCCCAATGGCCTAAATATCACACATTCTTGGAATAGAGAATTAGCCCTCTCTCTGCCTGAGCCTACCATTTTGGTTAGTTTTTTTTTTTAAGTTTTCAGTTTAAAAAAACTAGAGAGTAGATCCAACTCCAACTGGGTCATTGCAGATTTTATAGGATTTTTTTTCCCTCAGATTTCCCAGAAATAAATACCCAGGAAGTGACAGCCACCATAAAAACTGGAAGGTTGTTTTCAAATTGCCACTCCTAGCTAATTGAAACAAGCCACCTTACTAATTAAATACTTGCCCAAGACTAGCAGCAGATCCTGTGGGGACTAGTCTGGTGGGTAGGTTCCTGTCCACTGAAAAGACCAAAGTATCACTTCAAACAGGCTGGCTACTGTTAAATTGTCCTTGAAATCACCTGGACTTAAATTAGGGCCTTAAAGATCAACTAGCTGGTTTGGAAGCTCTATCTCGATGGATTGATGTCATGCCATCAAGTCAATGTTGACTTGTAATGACTGCAAAGACACCTATCTGTGTCTTTAGTTTGGTGAAGAGGAGATGCAATCGGGTAGTGGTTGGTCTGCTCTAATCATCCAAAACGGGCTGTGATATGGGGTGTGCGGATGGGCAAGTAGAGGAAAGGCCTGAGTCCTACTCTAAAGCGTTGACACCATCTTGCTCTGTCTGTCTTTCTTTCAGATCCGAATAACTCACAAGAACCAAGCTCCAATGCTCATCGCACCGCCTCCCCGTTCCTCCAGCTTTTTTGGCCTGAAAAAGGGACCCCAGGAGACCTAAGTGGGGCTTCTGTTCCTTTCTGGGAGCAGCTGCCTCCATCGAAATGCAACTTTGGGTCCTCGGGTGGGCTATCCCGCTGCTTTGTGCCATAAGGAGAGCCCTCTTCCATCACCACCCTCCATAGCAAATTAAAAGAAGCCGAATTTCTGTGTAGTACATGGCACGGTGAGATCCGAATTCTTAGCTTTTGCAACATACATTGGTCTTGCCAATTTCCTAGTCCGAAGCAGGAGAACTCGGGCTCTCTGCCCCGTTAGGTTTTGCAGCACCTTGTGATTTGGTGATGCCCTCAGGTTTCCTGCCTTTGCTCGTCTCCCTTTTAATGTGTGGATGCCAAATTCTTCCTTTTTTCCCCCACTAAAAAGCCTTGGTAGATTGCTACCTCTTGTCATTCAAATTCTGCTCTTTGTAGATTTTGCTTTTTGCACTTGCTGTAACTACTGAAAGACAATGGTGGCACCAGCTGTTCTTTCCTTCCCCCTCCACTTCCTTTCCTCTCCTCTTTTTTTTTAATTTATTATGATTCCATGCCGAGTCCTTCTCTGTACAGTTTTCTCAGAAGAGCTTCAATGTGGTAATAAAGGGCTGGGCTTGGATATGTTTTTCCACTGTAGTCAGTTTTCTTGTCTGTAAGCAGAAATTAACAGTTAGATGGTGCGCTTCCCTGTTGCTAAAACGTTGTCTGCCTTTTGGTCAGAGCTCGTAGAAAATGAAACAAGGCATGTTATCAGATTTCTGGCTCACAAAATATAGTGAAATGGAATCTCACCATTGGGTCATTTTACCTGCTATTCTGGGAGCACAATCTCAGTCAGGCATCGTTATATGAGCATTAAATACTAGGGCAGGAACAGCCCTTCAGAAGTCATGAACTTCAACACGCAATCAACACAGCCAGTGTTGAATGATGTGTACAACAACATCTGGAGAGCCACAGGATTCTCCCACACACACACCCCAAGTTCTGTGCAAACTGGCTTTGTAACTGCTTGCAACCGTGCAATAGGATATATGCACAGAAGCATGAAACATCCATGCAATGCGGTGCAGTTGTACAGAGGATGAAAAATTGAAGACCAGCACATTTGCTGGTATATCTGTTCACGGTGAAAGCCTTAATTGGATTTGTAAAGCTGTCGGTATGGATTTGCTGCTTTTCCCGCTTTCCTTCACTATACTATGTGCAAGAAGGTAATGTAAGATTACACAGGAATAATAACAAGGCAAAAGCAAGCATTATAATTTTTCACAGTTGCAGGTTTGAGGTTTGATTTAGTCATCCCAAATTCTGTCTGTCAAGGATTGGGATAGCTTTTAGTACCAAGTGTGTGGAAAAACTTGTTCATTAAGATTAAGGGGCACTGGACAGTAGTCAAGAATGTTTTTCAATTATCAATTTATAAAAGTCAGAAGGCTGCTTTTTATTTTGGTATAATGTATTGCTTATTCATTTGCACTAGGATTGTGCTCTCTTTTGGAACATATCGTGAAAAATCAATAGAAGATTCCTAGCATTCTTCTCCAGATGAAATTTCTAGGCATACAGCACTACAGCTGTGTAAAGACCCAACATACTGCAAGACACCCATAAAAAGAAGAATATGATGCAACAGAAAAAGAATGGAAGAGCTTAATCCCCTCCGTCTGCTAATTTTTGCTCACCTTTTGCTAATTTTATCCCCGTAATGCCGCAGGTCTATCTTTTGGAAGGACAAGCTTTAGGGGCCAGCTGTTGATAGCTAAGAACAGAGCATTTCTTTTTCATGAATTAGAGGAGGCTGGGTTCACCTTATTCTAAGACATCAGTGTGGTTTGTTTGTAACTGTCTGCAGCCATTCTGCTTTGTAAACACTGGTTTATAGCTTAGTGTGAACCCAGTCACACTATTGGTTCAGTGAACAAATCGTAGCTGGGTGATGTATGAACCATTCTGTCCTTCACAATTTCTTCAGTAAAACTTCCACTGCTGAAGAGCTGTGCAATAAGGAAGAAAGACTGTGGCTTGTTAGATCTGGTTGTAATGTTTTTGGCCTAGGATGGGAGATTGGATTTTAGATAGTATCTTGGGAGATGCCACACCTTCCCTAAGAGGAAGATCAGAATGCCAAAAACAATGGACACATATTTTTTTAAAATAAGGCCTTTCCATACTTTCATTTTTAGCACAATAAAAGTGCAGTTTTCCATTTATTCACACAGAGAAAGAATCTGGCAGTGCCGTTTTTTGTTTAGTGATTCATAGAACAAAACAATGGCGTTGATGTCTGTATTTCAGGGCCATGTGGGAAAAGCCATTTTAAACCACAGATGAGTGTCACAAAGGTACAATAGGCTGATATCTATGGTTTCCAAGATTCTGGAAACCACTGTGCCTGTTTTCATGATCTGCAAACAAACCCTGTGTTTGTGCTCTTGCATGTTCCCAAGTGCCTCTTCCCACTTGAATCAGAAGCCCTGCACAGCCCCAACCTGGTTAGAATGTCAGAATGTAACTGCGGAAACCTGGTTCACATCCCATTCAGTCAGGAGCTACACCGAGAGTTCTGAGATTAACATGGAAATAAGAGGCAGATGGTTCAAGGGCTTCCAGAGAAAAAGCACAAGGTAGTTCATTTCTGATAATTAGGAAACTTAATATGTTATTTCAGTGTGTTTTAAAACAACATCAAGCAAAGCTCTCAACATAGCAGCATGAACTGGGAAAATGAAGGGAACATGGAAACAAAAACATTGGAAAATAAAATACATCAGACAGAGAATTTACAGAGAGTTTTTTGGACTTAAAGATGCCTCTGTGTTGTTACGAAATAAGGAAAGAATCTGAGCTCTTGCATCCTCTATTCAAATTATAATACGGTATGACATGGGAAGTGCTTGAAGGAGAACAAAAGATCTGTCTCCAACACTGTAGGAGGAACACAACAGTTGGTGGCACCAGCGTGGTCTCCATTCGATGCATTTAGTCTTACACAAACTTTATTCAGTCTTGGTGATAGTAATAGAATAACAGAGTTGGAAGGGATCTTGGAGGTCTAGTAGTCCAACCTTTGCTCAGGCAGAAAACCTTATACCATTTCAGACAAAGGGTTGTCCAATCTCTTCTTAAAAACCATTGGGTGTTGGAGCACCCAAAAGTTCTGGAGGGAAGTCATTCCACTGATTAATTGGAAATTTCTCCTTAGTTCTAGGTTGCTTCTCTCCTTGATTAGTTTCCACCTGTTGCTTTTTGTCCTGCCTTCAGGTGGTTTGGAGAATAGGTTGACCCTCTTCTTTGTGGCATTAGATATATTAGAAGACCCTTAGTCCTTCTTTTCATTAAACTAGACATACCCAATTCCAGCAACCATTATGTTTTTGTTGTGGTTTGCTGGCAGCCGGTGCAGATGGCAGAAGTATTGGACACTATGGACGAAAGAGAACCAATCAGGGAGTCTGGAGAGGACTTGGACGAGGGTCCTGCATCTGATGCAGGAATGGGGCCAGGACCATCTGAGAGTGGAGTGCTGCCTTCGGACCCTTCGGAGTCTTGCAGCAGCAAAGCAGAGGACTCAGGAGTAAGGCTGAGAGGTGATTGCCCCTCCCATCAGGGATAAAAGTCAGCCCTCTGTGATGTGCTCTTTGCAGGAAGCAAAGAAGTTCATTAGATTCTGATTCCTCGTTGAAGCCTTGCGAACTCTGATTTGTCTTTGCTGGAACTTCTGTCAGTATATATTCTAATTAAGTGGACTTCTGTTTCTTGGCAGCCTTCTACAACCCTGAAAGACGTGAGTTTATTTCAGAGAATTGTGTCTAATGAGTCTTGGCTGGGAATGCAAAAAATTCCCAGTGTCACATTTAAAAAGGTTTGATTTTACACCCAGTTTGTGTTTCCTTAATTTGGTTGAAGCCTGGGTCAGAACAGTTTTAGCCTCCAGCCTCTAATCATTTTTGTTGCTCTTCTCTGTACTCTTTCTAGAGTCTCAGCATCTTTTTTACATCATGGTGACCAAAACAGGATGCAGTATTTATTTATTATTTACATTTTTTATTATTCTTCCAAGTGTGGTCTTACCAAGGCATTATAAAGTAGTATCAGCACTTCATGTGATCTATCCCTCTGTTAATTCAGCTGCAGAGTAATACAGTATTATAAAAGTTTTAGTCCAGCTGGGACTTGGGCCCTCACAAAATCTTGAACTATTGAATTTAACATTTTATTTAGCCAAGTGTGATTAGAATCCCTCATAAGCTTGGGTCAATCTGAATGTGTTTTGGGCTACTTCTTTCACATATCTGAACCAGCTTGACCATTGATCACAAGTCAGGGATGCCTGATGAGAGAAGGGTTAATTAGCAAATGGAAGAATTTGTATATCAAAAATGGTCGTTGTGGCCCACGATGAGCAGCCTTCAACATAGTTTGCACAGCTAAAGAATTAGTTCCACACCCAGCAATTCAAATACAAACTTTTCCAGCAGATGTTGCTCTGGTGAATTATTTCTACCTTGGCTGTAAAATGAAAGTGTTGTGAAGCTAATTTGTTTTTTGAGATGCTCTGGTTCTCAGGGGCTTATGGATGAGTTATTGGTCAGTTTGTGGAAACACTGGCCTCACCTTCTCTGTAACCACACTAGCAGGGTTTTCCAGGGGGAAAGGGTTTGGCTGACTTTTCAACACTTCACATAAATAACTTTTGGGGTTTTTGCAGTCAGCCAAATGAATGCGGTATGAAGGATACAAGAAAGTAAATTATTTACCTATAACATCATGCAATGTGTCTAATTTTCTGATATCACATTCCTGGCCTCTTTAAAGTAGAGCTGTAATTTTTTTCACTTGTTTCAGGAGTTTTCAAACTGTTTTGGGGGTTTTCAGGAAGAACCAAAACCACCTTACAATAATAGGCTGGAATGGGACAAATCATCCCTGATCATTCCAAAATCTTCCCAATCACAACTTTTTATCAACTGAATCGACTTCACTGATTTCCTGCCTTTGCACTTACCTCACCCTCAAGTACAAATAAGTGAAACTTGATAAACCCCAATTTTAGTTTTGCTGACAATGATACAAACGCAATGAAGCAGAAAACCCTCATTAGGATGAGTAGCCTCGTTGCACAGCCATGCCAGTTTTTGTTCTTCCCAAAGGCTTTGTTATATGGCCATGCAGAAAGTCTTCATATTACTATAGCAACATGGCTAATCTGCTTTTGGTGGTTATTGTTCCCCAATGGCTTGTAGCTGCTCATACAGATTCCATCTGTATTTGGAAAAGGCAAGACCAGCTTTAGATTACGGTCTTAGTAAACCAGTTTTAGATTACCAAGCCAAGCATATCATTTTAATCGCAAAGCCTCTTCCCCCTATTTCAGAATTTGTAAGGAAGTCCACCCACCCCTACAGTTTGCCTTTACGTATTGAATTACTCTGTGTCAAATTACTATTCTGTTTTGGAGTAAGGAGCGGTTATGTGCTTAAATGACTTTCACTCTAACAGATGGCTCTCACTCTTCCCACTGCATTCCACAATGTTTTCAGAAATTTAGGACCACAGCAAACCCTGCCTTGCCTGCTATCCAAGAAACCCTAGGCCAGTGATGGCCAGCCTTTTGGCTTGTCAAAAATTTGGAAAATGCTTAACTTGACTCTGCTGGTGCATCACACACATACACACGCACACACACACACCACCACCACCACCACCACCAAGCAAGACAAACACTTCTCCCCCCTAGGCTACCCTGAGCAGAGACACTTGGTGGCAGCTCAGGATGGGGGTGAAGTAGAGGCCTAGGCCTTCAGCCTAAGTAGCACCACCACCACTCAAAAAGGCCAGCATGTGCCCCCCTCAAGGGGGTGGGGGGTTTGCAAGCCTTGGGGAATGGTGTGTGCCACATGGCTCAGAGTTCCCCAGAAAACTGTGTGAGAACGGGGCTTACTTTTGAGAATAGTTGGATATTGATGAACCTGACAAGTCACCCAAAACATGGCATGTCACCTTTGATACATATGTTATAGTTTCACCATCACTGTCCTAGGCCTAGAGTCTACACCATGCTCTGACCTGGGAATTATTGTTCATATAAATTGTGGATTCCTTTGTCCACTTTGATTTGCCTCATACTACTCTCTTCCCAGGCATCCAATTTCGCAGGAATCTCTGAAGTTTATTCTCTGACTGTATTCTCTGAAGAATATAGGAACAGCAATAGCATTTAGATTTATATACCTCTCTAAGCGGTTTTACAGAGTCAGCCTATTGCCTCCAGCAATCTGGGTCCTCATTTTACCCACCTTGGAAGGATGGAAGGCTGAGTCAACAGTGCGCCTGGTGGGATTTGAACTGCCAAATTGCAGGCAGCCGGTAGTCAGCAGAAGTTAGCCTGCAGTACTACACACTAACCACTGTGCTACCAAGGCTCTATGAAGTGGTTGCAGATATTAATCGTGGCTTTATATCAGCCTGTCCTTTCTCCTGCACCTCTTTTTAGAAGAAACTTTTGCACAATTTGTTTTGTGAAATGCAGCCACCCTCATTCCCATTTCCACCTCCAGAATTGCCCAAGAGTGCTTTTGTGTCTTGTTTCTACTCCTCTTTCTGTCCCCTGGAAGCCACCACTACCCAGTTAGAGCTCTGGTATCTTGCTCACATGCAGTGTCAATGAGGTAGCTGGAAACCCATTCCCTTATGAAGTGACCTGTTGGTCCCGACCAGTTTCTAGAATCAGGTTCTCGACTGTCCTTCAGCTAGCAAATGGGATGTCACAATTCGACTACTCTTCCCCACTTAAGTGGCTCATCTTGCACAGACAAATATCACGCCGAGAAGTAGTCCATCAAACTTTTGATATATTTGTTCATGGTGTATAAAGTAGATATTGTGTTTTTTTTTTAAAGAAAAGATGGACAGACAAAAATTTAAAAAAATACAGAGATGCTCCATTGTCTTAAATGATACCAGCCTGCATCTGGTTGGTTCTCTCTTGAGTTTGCATGACATGGATTAAACTTAAGTGCCTCTTCCCTGGGAAATGCTTATGCATAACAGCAATGTGCTACTAAGGATGTCTTAGAAGCAGATGTGAGCCATTTGAAACATGATAGAATGCTGTCACTTTGTGCTGCTGGTTCCTTTTTTTCCATTTTTTTTGGAAAAAATAAAAGTCTGCAGTTGCTGATTGGTGCTCATGCCACTGCAGACAAGGTAGAGATGATCTTATTCTCTCTCATGTCTTTCTTGCCAGGACTCACTCCCCCAGTTAGTTCTGAGGCATAGAAGATAAAATGGAGACAGAGTTTTAACACAGCCTCATGTGTGGGAGAGGCTATTTAATAACATGACCAGTAACTGGTGAACAGGGTTAACCCTCTTACCATTTGTCAGAAGATGTGGCCAATTGTAAGACGTTAATTTAAAAATGAACAATCCCAAAACTACATTGCTGTTTTTCTCCTCAACCCAACGAAGTAGGTCAGAAAGCCGAAGGAACAGCTGTCTTGGCTACCATTTTCCTTCCCTAGGACCAGCATGGCACAGGCTGAATGCAATTGTGGTGCTCTAACAATGACTACACTTCGGTGCTGTCTGTATCTCCCCACCCAGGCAGGCACTGAGATGGCACCTCAAAGTGGCTGAGACGTTTACTCAGCTGGCATCAGAAGAGCATCAGCTTAAGGGAAATAGAGGGGGCTTGATTTCCTTTCTGAATCAGGGCTCAATATGTTCAGTTTTCAGTTTGCCAGGCTTGTTGACTTCCATTTAGATGACGTTACCACTGAGCAAGGGGCTGCTTTCCCCACTGGCCCTCCGGCCAAACGCCTGGCCAAGGAAGAGGCGTACAGCTGTGCGGTCAGGAAACCAGTTCCTTGGAGAAGTGCCAGCAGACATCATGGCCCGTAGAGGGATGTGTCTCAAATGCCTGTAACCAAGGAAGACATTAGTAACAATCTTGAGTGACATTTGAGAGTCACCCAAAGCATCTCCGTGTTCCTTACTCTGCTTGCTCTTTTGAACAAGAATTCTTAACATTCTTTGTCTGGCAAAAGAGAAGAGCTCAACCTGTAAAGATTTAATCTTCTGCTGTTCAATGGCCCTATGAGGGATAAAAACCTCCACCAGGTGGACTCTGCAAAATGCCTGCCATAAACAATACAACAAGAGTGAATGGCCATTCAGAGTGGTTAGGTTTTAGTTGGAATAGTACCGAGAAGGCCTAAGGAACAGGTTGCAAGATACTATAAGAAGCCCTGAAAAAAACAAGATAGCCAATGAGAGCGATTAATGAAATTCTGGGGAGGAATATTTGTCGTGTAGAAGCTTCACAAATCAAATTAACTCTTTTGCGCTATGTGTTTAGGCAAATTGCTCGTGTTACTGATTTCACCTTAGTAAAGCTGCTCCATCTCTTCTGTTGCCTCTCTAAATGTCAAAGTACATAATGAAGAGTTTAATAGAGAGAAGGAAGCCGGTACCTATAGCAGAACTCATCTGCAGCATGCCTAGCTCAAGGATTGTAACTACAGGGCAAACCTTTGCTTGCAATCTTGGAGAGTCATTATCGGTCAACGTCCAGTCAGATACTCTTTTCTCTGTTCTGATGCAGTAACTTAACATGCTCCAAAGATTAATCACCTTGCTATTTCAGATCCATCCCAGATGCCATAAGGACTTGATTTTTGTGGGTGAGCAGCAAAAGCACAGATCCCCTTGCATCATCTCCTAGCCAAAGCAGAATATGAACATTAGGCCAGGATTTAACCCGCAGCTCTTGTGCTTGGATGGGAAATGTCAGATTGTCCTATCTTCAGTCAGATGTTAGTAGCTACTGTAGCTACTGTTAGTATATAACATATACATAGTACATTCACTCCTGGCTAAGGATGAACAACCTAAATATGAATGGGAGTAGACTCACCTATAGGTATAGATAGCAGCTCCCATGGCAGCAATAACCAGCAGTGCTCCAACTACAAATGTTATTTGGGCTGAAGCTTGATTTCTTTCTGCTATAACAACAGAGGAATTGGTATTTAGTGGTGTTTATAATAAGGATTGTATGCTGTTCCTTTAGAAATATGGGACAAACCATTCCTTTAGAATAGGCCTATGTTTCTAATGAAGAAATAAACAAGCATGATTGTGAGCAACTCTACCTCAACTTTACCATGCTTCACAAAGAGCAAAAAACTAGGGAGAAATTGGTTAGGTTGACACATGTTGTATTAAACCATAACACAATCTATTTGTTTTTAGCTTAGATGTATGTCAGCATAGCCATTGTCGTTAACTATGGCTTAGAATGATGCATAAACCCAACCATTATGTTTGGCCTCTGGTTGTCAGCCTATTAGAAGGAGGGATTGCAATAAAACTGCTGATAGCATGAAGAGAAACAGAAGGAACGTTTCCTGCAGAAGACTTAGGGTCACCATAGAATAGTGGGCCTTACTCTGAACGCTGACTTGGGTGCTGGCAACAGCCAAGGTGTTGGCATCAGCCAATGAGATGTTGACGCAGTAGAGGCCAGATTGGTTGAAGGCCTGGCGCAAAACAAACTGGCAATCTGGGCTTGGCTGAACAGGATTGCACACACTCTCCTGGACTATCACACAATCAGGATCTGAAATGGTTGTGCAGACTTCTTCAGGGAGGCTACAAGCAAAAAAAAAGTCTACTTATTAGTCCATCCATCAAAAAGGGCCAGTTCCCTTCCCAGAATCATACATATGATGAACACTCCCCTTGGCAAGATTTCCACATGACTGCTATGCTGTTCATATTGCTATTCAAAAATCTTTTCCACCACCCACTATTCTGAGGGGCTTGTTTCACAGCTCCTGTTGCTGGATGTCCTAATATCCTTTCTTTCTCCTCTATGGCCCCAGATGCTTCAACCACCACTTTAAGAAGGTAGGAATCTATCAGAGTCATTATTTTCAGCTATGAAACCTACCTTCCCTGGCAGGTCACAGTGAGATCTACCGCATTATCAGCAATAGCGGGCGTCAGTGGCATCACCTGCACAATTTCCACACTCTCTATGCCCTCTGCAATAAAAAAGAACACAGAAATGTTTAGGCAGTATAGATGTCCTATATTTCCCCCTCCCACCATCCTGTGAATCATTCCTGTACGTGGAGGCCTTTTAAACCTGGCCTCTACAAACCAAATTTAATTGGAAGAAAATGTTTGATTTTTTTCAAATAAAAAGGACATGGTTCCAACAGAAGAGACTATTTGTAGCTCAGGATTGAACTGTGGAGTCCTTGGTACTCTCTGAATTTGATTATTTGCTTGCAAGTATTTTTTTTACCCAGTAAAGTAACATCAGCAGTACAGAAGCAAACAACCATGCTTGGAGGGCACTAAAGACAGCACAAAATGGGCCTGCTTTTAGATTTAGAAAACAGAGTGTGGAATGGACATTTTAGCTTTCACAGAACACCTTGTGTAACTTTTAGCCCCAGACATGTCATATTATTCTTGCCTTCTATTGTAAATGTGTTCTGACCACAATTCTCTGCTAGTTTTGAACCTACTATGTGGCAAAGATTGGATCAGGGTAGATTGTCTTATGGTGATCACATTATTCTGTCACCTAAAGATAGGTGATTCTGCATGTGGTTTAGGTCCACCCTCCTTGCCTAATGATGCCCAACAGCCTCTGGCCTAATTGGTGTGGGTACTCAATGGTTCCTATTACCCATCATTCCCTAGACTTACGGATGATGTCCAGATTAGTGGCAAAGGTTCCATAACGATAGAGGAGGCATCCATTGGGTGCCTGGCGTTTCACCAGGAGCTGCACCACATCTCCCGCGACTGTTCCTGTGGCAGGCATAACTGAACTCGCCGGATTGATGGCTGCTGTATCTTCAGAGTTATCTATTGGGGGGAAAAAAAATACTGGAAAGATATTACAATATTCATGGATAAAGGCTTATTAGTATTCTCCCATAACTTCAGATTGTCTCACTTCCAAAAATAGTATTTGCTGGAAGGGATAGCCATAAATTTAATGGACTGCCTCAGAAATAAAATAGTGCTTTACAGACGTTTACAGGCCACAGCTTCTGGCAACCCTTGCCCCTGGCTCTTGCCAGTGGGCTGATGGCAATTGAAATTAAATTGAAATTAAATCTCTAGAGGATACTAGGTTACCTACTCCTGTTTAGAATAAGCAAGAGGAATACAATAACTGATTAGAATAGGTAAGCATTGCTAAGGCATGAGGAGGGGGACTGAGGAGGAACATGAAATATTTGTCTGGATGAGGTCTGTCCCTTTTGTCTATCTGTGTCTGCATTCATAATGTCACAGATACATATGCAAATGGTGGTGCTTATTTTATGACAAGTTTTGCCATTCTGATGAAACAACTGGATTCATCACGAACTTGATGCTTTCAGAAGTATTACAGCAGGGCTGTCAAAACTCCCGAACTGCAGGCTGGATGCGTTACACGCTGGCCACTCACGCACCCAATTTAGCAAAAGGGGGGAAAGTCCCGATATGCTACCTGACACCGCTGTAATGACGTGAATTTGACGCCCCTGTACTACAATTTGAAGAAACTGAATATACAATCCTTACATCAGAAGAGATCAAGCTGGGGAGGGCAGTAGAAGGGTATTCAAGAAAAGGAACGCTATCATGATGTCAGCCTTTCAAAATAGTCCGGTCTAGGAGAGCAAAGTCATGCAGGCTAACACTACTTTTATTATAAGCTCATAGAAACAGAATCTTGGAAGTCTGAAATTGCTTCTCCCCTCCTTCCCTTTATCTTGAGATGTTTTTTCAGATTACAATTCTGGCCTGGACTCAATTTTCTTTTATCTGACCATTGTCTTGGTAGTGACTTTTCTTCTTGTGTCTCAAGGTCATTCCTTCTTCCCATTACATACGCTTTCTGCTTATGGGTTGAAAACCTCATGTCCCTCAAATGTTTCTGAACCACAAATCCTAGAAGTGCTGTCTAGCATGGCCAGCAGCAAGAAATACTCTGAGCAGGATGCGGAGGGCCTCATCTCTGCTCTAGAACTGCCCTAAAATTACCTTTTTAATCAATCAGAAACAATAATTAATCAGAGGAGACTTTGCAGAAGCTTCAGATGGTGACCTGTTCCCCCAATTGATTTAGATCATTCACCTATCGTATTATCCACTACAAATAGTTTTCCATTCTTGGCTTCTAAAACTTCCTATGGTGAGCCCCAACTGGGATTCTTTCTCTGTTCTAAACCCTTCACATGCAGATAACGGTAGAAGGCACAGCCAAAAGCAGTAGGCTATTCTCAGAGGCAAAGGAATCTCTTGCCAGGCCTACCTCTTGCCAGAGACACTAGCTGTGATTTTTTTAAAAAGTGTTGTCAAATACCTGAAAGGACAATTGTAGATGCAACGGGGGACAAAACAGTGGGTTCTGGTGTGCCTGGGTCATTCTCAGGTGCTATTGTAGATGAAGAACCTGCAGCCACAGAGCCTGGTAGAGATTCAGATGTTGTGGTAGATGCCATGGTATTTGGGAGAGATGCAGACATGGCAACAGTCACACCCTCACTGTTTTCAGTGGCATCAGATGATGCAACAACTGTAGGTTCCACAGAAGCAGCCATTAAATCTGTTTCTCCAGGCCCAGCACTGATATTTGCAACAGGAACTGTGGCTACAGATGTTGCCTCTTCAGTTACTGTTGGCGGTACAGTGGAAATGATTGAAGTCGCAGAAGCCCGGACTGAAGATGCAAAAGATAGGTGAGTTAGAAGAAACAGTGGGAGAGATTATGCAGGAAAGGTACTAAATGTAATTTCTATAGGATAGTTGCAACTTACTGAAAGACCATACTAGAAAACCCAATTCTTCTGCTATAATTCATAACACAACCATTAAGGGCTGGTGTGAACCCTGCATTTTATTATTTTATATAAATCTTCCTGTTCAGTTTAGCATAGGCTGGTTGTTGATGAAATCAGCTTGGCAATAGGATTGTTTCATGAACTTGGAACCTTTCCCAAATGGATGTTCTCAAGATCTGTCAGGCTTTGATTTATGCAGGCTCATGGGAATCCAATACAGGTAGGTCAGCAAAGACTGACAAAGAATATGAGTGCCACCGAGAATATGGAGTGTCAAGGATAATTTTTGCCTGGGAAAATATATATATTCCAATAACATTCAGAAGCACTTTTGTGGATTCAAGTTTTTAAAACCAGAATATAGATCAGGGTGTCCAATCTTGGCAATTTTAAGACTTGTGGACTTCAACTAAACATGGCTGGCTGGGAAATTCTGGAAGTTGGAGTCCACAGGTCTTAAAGTTGCCAAGGTTGGATACCCCTGATATAAATGCTTAAGGACATTCTTGGTATGAAAATACTTGAATAGCGTTCTAGTGTGATCAAAGTGAAAAATTATTCAAATCTGGAAAAAAATCTAGGAGCAGAATAAAAACTGAACTCTTTTTCACCTCAGGAACATTTGATGTTTCCAGGTTTTCTTATTTACTTTAAGAAGCTTCCCCAAATCTCAGCTTCCCTTGGAAAGGATTCTAAGGAATCCTACCTCCACCCCATTTATCTATTGATCCTTTTTATCCTACTCATTGTTAATGTTTTAACCATTAATGCCCAACTTTTAAAAACATGTTTAACCTTCTAGAGATGGGCAGCAAAACAAACAAACAAACAAGCATCCCCCCAACTTCTACATTTTTGTTTGGACTCATCACCCAGTGTGAAATGAGAGTGAGATTATTACATCATATAAAAAGGTCCTTAATGGTTTTGAAGATTAGAAAAGATAGACAGTTGTCTTTTAGCTGATCAACTGGGGACCTCTTCACATTCCATTTTTTTCTAGAAGAGGTTGAAAAACACTCTTCAATTTTCTACTGCTGTAGTACAATGTTGTTCCACTTCCTGTTAAAAGCTCTTAACACTTCTACCCTGGACCTGAACATTCATTCTAGACACAAAACAAATTATGTCAACTCCTTAGCTATATCCCAGTTTATTTGAAAAGTACATTTAGTCCTGGTAGAGAACTTGAGTTTGAAATATCTGACAATAGATGGGATACTGGCTAAAATCAGCTAAGCAGATGAGTACTTACCAGAAGTCACAGCCTCTTCAGTGCTTGCCCCAGTGATGCTATTTATAGTGGAAAACGCACTGGAAGCTTGAACCGTAGTTCCACTCGGAGTAGTGGTTGTCATGAGGGTTGTGGGCATGATGAATGGGTCTTCCGAAGTACTGCCTCCACATGAGGCCACAGGAATGGCAGCCTGAACCACCACGCGAGGGCTGAAGGTACCAGCGGAAAGGTAGGTGTGAGTGACCATGGTTGATCGAGAAATCAGGGTCCCGCTCTGGTCACCAAAATCCCAGGAGTAGGAGATGTCAGCATCATGGAGGTATTGACTAGGATCATGGAGCTGCACAGCAAAGGAGATGGCTCGGTTTCGCACAAAGCGACTGTCTGTCCCATCGGTATCAAGAAGTTGTGCAATGTTCACTTGGAAAGGGATCTGGTCTGGGAAAGGAAGCAGAAAATCAACAGTGGGCATGGAAACTTAATTCGGAGAAGAATGAGCAGCTTGTGGGGTTCTTGGTGCTCTCCGAGCTTGGTTGTTGTTTTTTTTCCAGATGTTTCCTTATCAAACAAGGTCACATCATCAACGGGGCAGCTTTTCTAAAACAAATTTGCTCCATTCCTCTCAGGAATCCAATTTGGTTATTCCACAATTAACTGTTTTGTTATCGGTCCAGCAGTTTCTCTGTGTTAATCAAAAGATAGCTGGGATTAGTGTACAAAGCAGGCTAGCCTTTCTAGCTTTTATTATGGAACCCTTGGATATCTTTTAGATGGCATAGCGCAGAAAGCAGGAGACAATGTCACATAATCCCCAAATTGATCAAGCACTGTCCCCAGCTGAGTCCATTAATATTTACCAGTGATGCTGAACTGAGATGAGGCACCACCGATAGGAATGAATTTCTCACGTCCCCGGTAATGATAGATTGCCACATTCATGGTATAGGAGCCTAAAGCAATATCAGCTGTTTCAATGGTCAATGAGGAGGCGGGACCATCTACCACTTGCCAGTATTGCCCTGTAGGGAGAAAAAGAATATGGGAGAAACGCCAGTGTTGAAGATAATAGACACAACACTTCCTAAGTTGAGAAGGGAAACTGTCCTTCCTCCTGGTGTAATTTAGATCAGAAATGGATGCTTTCCAGGTGTGGCACCAACAGCTTCTGCGATTCTCAACCTGCATGTCCATTGGCCATCTTTTTGTTTGAGAAGCCTGGAGAAGAAGTTAAAGCTTGGTAATAATAAGTCCCTTTTTCGGTTCAGGCAGCAGGAACGTAAGTTAACTTCCATAAATAAAATAGGAATGTAAAATAATGTAGTAAGACATTTAAGGGTCCCCATAGATTAAGTAGCTTATCAGATATATTTTCTAGTAGGGATCTTGTGTTTTCAAGTGCTGTATCAATAAGCAGTACTTTACCAGAACATTTTTGTATTAGCCTCTAAAAGTCATTTGCTGATACCTCTCTCTCCCTCCCTCCTCTCCCTATCTCTCTCTCTCTCTCTCTCTCATCTATCTATCTATCTATCTATCTATCTATCTATCATCTATCTATCTATCTATCTATCTATCTATCTATCTATCTATCTATCTATATCTATCTATCTATCTATCTATCTATCTATCATCTATCTATCATCTATCTATATCTATCTATCTATCTATCTATCTATCTATCTATCTATCTATCTATCTATCTATCTATCTATCTATCATCTATCTATTATCTACAAGCTGTCCAGAAAAGAAACAATACTAATCAAACTAATTTCATAATGAAACTCATGTCTCAAAGTTAAATCATGTAAATAGAGATGGTCCTCATTTAATGACTGCAATTGGTTTTGACCACTCAGTCATTAAGTGAAATGATCATTAAGTGAGTGTGTGTGTGAGGGGGGAAGGGAGGGAGGGAGAGAGTGGGGGGGGAAGACAAAGAGAGAAAGATTCTACAAAAGTCACTAGTTGCGGCTTTTCATTCCGATAAAATTCTCTAAGGAAACCTGTTTTTTTTTCTTTTTATGCTCTCTGACAGAACAGAGAGATTGCTTAAACAACTTATTTCTTCCTGAGCTGCTTTTCTCCACATAACAACACTTCTCTGAAAATCTCTGAAAATAACTGCAGATTGACAAATTCATCTGTGACCTTAGTTGATTCCAACCTTCCAGTGGTTATTGCCTGAAACTGACCAACCTTAATCAATTTCACAATGAAATTTTTTATTATTGTTTTATTTGTGAATGGTCACTATTTGAGGCAGTCATTAAACACCTGTAACTAAGAAGTAATTTTCAAAGGGAGGTTATCTTTCTCTATATGCTTTTTTTAATGTAAAACAGTACTTTTTAAGTATTCAAGAAAGTTTTAAGGAAAATCATTTTTACAGCAGCTCCATCAGCTTCTGTGCTGTCCAACACAACAAAGCATACTCTCACAGTTAAATCTTCCCAGTCAAAGCGAAGACCTTCCTAATCGTGCCACAATCGTGTGGATTTTCTTTTTATGTCAATTAGGAAGGGCCCTTTTCTGCTGTGGAATGCTTTCTCCTTATCATGTGCCCTTTTATTTCACTTTCATATGTGTCCTGAAACATGTTCAGTCTCTGTGGCGTATGCCATTTCATGATGGTACCGTTTGAGGACTTCGTACCTTTTATGTGATTAAATACAAATCACTATTTTATTTTGCTTTCTGATTTGCCAACTTTTATTTCCACTTGTGTATACGGTTGATGTTTCCCCCCTGAATATCATTAGCATTACAGGCAGTATAAAAATATTTTAAAGAAATATAAAGAAATATTTATAATGAGTCACAGACAAACCACCGCTTGAGTACAGTGTATGGATTCAGAAACTGTAGAACAGCGGTGTCAAATTGGCAGTCCACAGGCCAGATGCGTCAAGCACCGGCCACACCCACCCCAGCTCCACGAAGGGGAAGAATGTCGCAAAAAATCACATGAAGGCAATGTGACGCCATGACTTGGACAACTGTGCTGTAGAAGTTGCTAAGCTGGAGTACAGGTAGTCCTCAACTTAGAACCATTGGTTTAGTGACGGTCCAAAGTTACAAAAGCACTGAAAAATGTGACCTAAGAGAGTTTTTCACATGACTGTTGCAACATCTCCATGGTCACATGATAAAAATTCAGACACCTGGCAACTGACTCATATATATCATAGCTGCAGCATCCCCAGGGATCATGTGATCACTTTTTGCAATTTTTTTTGGAGAAGCAAAGTCAATAGGGAAGCCAGATTTACTTAACAACTGTGTTACTAAATTAACAACCGCAGTGAGTCACTTCACAAATGAGGCAAGAAAGGTCGTAAAACAGGGCAAAAATCACTTAACAACTGTCTTGCTTAGCAACAAAATTTTTGGGCTCAATTGTGGTCATAAGTCAAGGATTACCTGTAATGAAGAAGGAAAGGACTGAAATGCATGGCATTTCCCCACTTAAGGGTCCAAGCAGCAACTTACCCCATGTCTGCCAGACAAAAACAAACTTGCCAGGCCGGCGATCGCTTGGGGAGAAGGGTTGTCCATCGGGAAATACATAATCGGAAGCATCGTCCTCCTGGTCTGGGAAAACAGGATCCCCTTTTCTCATACGGGTGCCTGCAAAAGAGAAGGGGAGGAAGCCATGAGAAAAGACACGGTTAATAAGTCTCCAAAAGGCCTCAGTTGAAATCATTCAAATCCTACAGGAATACCCCATTTCAATGTGTGTGGCTTACCATTTATGATGCAGTTCTGGCTCCATACCACACGTCCATCTGGCAGCGCAGTTTGGTTACTGGGAAAGCGCAAAGTAATCCTGAATGTGACTTTGGCACTTGTTAAGGTCGGGGCATCGTTGCCGATATCAAATGTGACATTGCCACCTAGAAAGAAAAACAGAGAGGTGTCCAAAGTTTCTGATCTATGCCACAGCTGGCACTGCACTTGCCTATCTCTGCTATTGAGGATAAAAGAGGGCACAGAGCTTGCAAAAAGTGCGTCAGTAACAACTTAAAAAGAACAGAAATACACTTCGATAGAGGAGAATATTTGTAGCTCCTGGATGAACTTTGGGCTCCTTGGTGCTCTCTGAGCTTGGTTGATTTTTTGCAGATGTTGCATTACCCAACTAGGCAACATCATCAGTGCTGGAAGGAAGTGGGGTTTGCTCTCAAGGACCCCACAGAAGCACATTTAGAAAGGGAGAGGATAACTGCAAAAAAGACACAGTACGTCTCAACAAGGAGGCCCGTGATTGGGTGACTAAGTGACAGATTGCTATCCAGGTGCAAAGATGCTGTCTAACGGTTTTTAATGGTTAAGTGGAACTTAGGCCAGGCAGAAAATACTTCCTCACAAAGAATGAGGAAGACTTTGACAGTCTTTTCGAAGAAGGACTGCAAGTAGAGTCCATGTCACTCTAACCACCTATACTGAGGCTGAGAAGCCTCAACGGATTGTTTCCCCTTTTTGTTCAGTCCAATTGTCTTTACTTCAAACTTATCTCGTACCTCGCCAGCAATTTCCCTGCCTGGGATCTCCTTCTCTCCACCGGGGGTAAAGACTGGAATTCCACGTCTTGTACGCAGAGTATCTCCGGCTTCCATTATGTCCCCATCTGTTGTTCCGGCCACTGAACCCTAGAAGAAAACAATGTACTTTAATCCTGGGGGCATTCACCAGGGGAGGGGGGGCACTGGTTCAAAAAGTGCAGAGGGCAGCTGCAACCATGCAGTTGAAACACCCCTCCCCCACCATCTAGCATATAGAAAAAAAGAGACAGGCTTTAAATGCATAATTGCAATGGTCCTGGTAAGAGAGAACAGGCAAAGCTGGGGAGGGAGCAGAGTTAAACGAGTCATCAGCCTACAGTCATTATGTTCCCACAAATAGTCTAAATCCAATCCCTCTTGAATTCCGTTGACTTTTATCTGGTGCCAATTTAGTAATGCATTTGATTAGATTCTCTTGTATTGGCTTAAGCAATAAACCTTCTGAACCAACTTAATATATGATTCTGATTCTTTGTACCTGATAGGTTCTCCAGAATTTTTTTTTTTTGCCAGCCCTCATCTCCCAGAGATATTCTTGCCACCACAGTTTCTAATATGTCAGAGATAAAGTTAGAAGCCAAGGCATAATAACATTATCATTATAAAAGTCATTTTTATCTTTCATTGCTGGATGTATAGGAACCATACATTACCTTGATTCTGCCAAAGCCTGCTTCTGAATAAGTGAATGAACTTGTATGTTTCCATAAATGGATTATAGTTGAACAAAATATGTATTTTATGACCTGATTAAAGCTAGGCGGACAGTGAAGGGCTGTTCCAGTGTTTTCTGCTTGTTGATTAATTCCTTTCTGGCCATCTTGAGCGCCCCCCCACCCCAATCTCATGCTGAGTCTGCCCAGATGTGAAGGTCCTTGAATATGCTGGGTTCTCCCCAAAGTGTGCAAAGTCTTTTCTGAAATGTTATGCTCTGGATTTTAGGAATGGTGCAAGACACATCGGACCAATCTGCAGCTGTAATATTTGTCAAGTTAGTTTATGGCTTTCCATATTATTCACTTAAAGAAGAAAAGTGACATAAAATAGCACCAGGAAGGAACACAATAGGACCAAGGGTCTCTTATCTTGAACATCGTCATAGAAGGGTTAGTGGAGCTAGCCGGGATGGCAAAAAACAGACTGCTTTGCACCAACACAATAATTCAATTAAATTTCATGCAATCCAGAGGCCGTTGATAGATTTCTTACAGGATAAAGAGAAAAGTCAGCTTTTGATTTTGGATTCTGACAATGAAAATGGACTTGACTAAAGAAATATTACAGCAGGTTATTTATATTTGATAACTTATTATTGTTTAGATGAAATTAAGAGATGAACTTCTAATGACTACTGGCTTTTAGTTTAGCATGAGTATTTTAAGGTATAATATATGGTCTTTTCTCTTTAAACTAAGATGGTTGTATTGTTAATACCCCATACTAAAAGAAAGTCGGAGATCACTCTTGTTATATTTGTTTGAAGTACGTTTTTGTCACTTCATTGTTTTGTCATTTCCTTTCCCTTTTATGTTAGTTTGTATTTTAAAGTATAATGTTAAAACTTAATAAAGTTATTATTAAAAATATAACAGTGGCAGCGAAGGTAGCGCATGCAAACCTTGTTGGCTTTTGAATAGTTTGGCCAAGGAATATCCTCCAGTAGGCTATAACAGCAACAATATCTATTTAAAGGTAAATGTAAAGGTTCCCCTCACACATATGTGCTAGTCATTTTCGGCTCTAGGGAGTGGTACTCATCTCTGTTACACAGCCGAAGAGCCAGTATTGTCCGAAGATGTCTCCATGGTCATGTGGCCGGCATGACTAAATGCCAAAGGCTCAGGAACTCTGTTACCTTCCCACCAAAGTGGTCCCTATTTTTCTACTTGCATTTTTACATCCTTTCAAACTGCTAGGTTGGCAGAAGCTGAGACAAGTAATGGGTGCTCACTCCATTACATGGCACTAGAGATTCAAACCGCCGAACTGCCGACCTTTCTGATCAACAAGCTCAGCGTCTTAGCCACTGAGCCACTGCGTCCCATATAATATCTGTTTAATTGATATTAATTTTAATACATTTAAATCTTCTAAGCCTCCTTCTTCTGTAACTCTGAGAGTGAGATGGGTGATACCAAAAGTTGATAAAAAAAAAAAAAGTTACACATTATAATTTGAAGGCAATTTTCGGAAGGCTTCTGGGGCAGCATCCAAGGCTTGAGAGATATAGTGCCACATCCATATCACCTAAATGTCCCAAGGGTGCTTTTTCAAGAGGCAACTGGACTTTCTTGTTTTTCTTTGAAGACGTTGTCCTTCTCATCCAAGAAACTTCTTCAGCTCTGACTGGATGGCTCCATTCCCCACCATCCAGTCAGAGCTGAAGAAACTTCTTGGATGAGGAGCAAAACATTTTCAAAGAAAAACCAGAAAGTTGCCTCTTGAAAAAAGCACTGTTGGGACAACTATGACCTGGATGACTGAGAATCTCCAAAGACATATCACCTAAAGAAAGCTGTTCTTGCCCCTTTGGTTGTATGAATCAGCCTCTAATGGAAGGAGGAAGGGGGATGGAGGTGGGGTTAGGCAAGCTTTAGACCTGTAATGCCTGACCTTCCTTACTACATAGTGGCCACACAGGCCTGCCTCAGCTGAGAGTCACATGAAACAGCTTGAATAGAGGCCGCCAAGACCATGTGATACGAGCCCCTCAGCATTGGCGTGGGCTGATCGGTCACATGCTGTCTGCACCTACAGCAGAATAAAAGAAAGTCTTGAGTGCTTAGCCACATCCTAGGCAGCCTAGGGAAGGGTGTTCCAAACTACTTGTGGGAAGCAGAGAACATACATAGGAAACTGCAACGTGAAAAGAAAAAACAGCATTTGCTAAATGTGAGAAGATAGATTGGTTTCCCAGGATTTTATCGTTAGTTACACAGACTGCTCCAAGACACTTCTCTTTTAAACAAAATAAAACAAAACTCCCACTTTCCTTTCAGTTCTCCTGAGTTCTCCTGGTAAAAAGGGAAGCAATGGAGAGAACTCACTGCAAAAACAATCCCAGATTAAATGAGAAACTGCCTCACACGTAGTCAGCAGTGATCTTCCCTACCTGCTGAGAAGGGCTGTACTTCAATACTGGCTGGGAAATATTGGAAAGGTAGATTCTCCCCAGGATCCATAAAGAATTTTTGCCTATCTCTCTGAAGTTGTTTCAGCTTTTTGACCTTCTTCAGTCATGAGAGATAGGCAAGGTCATACTTGAGCAGTACTTGAATGCAAGATGACCAGGAAATCTTAGGACTAAAAACTAGATTTGAAAGTCATAAAAATATCCTTGAAGAAAATTTAAAAAATAAAAATCTTTACTTGGGGATAACATGGAATGAACTGAATTTGGGATTTGCTGCGCATAAAATAGATGTTATCATACAAAACGATGCCCCCTTTCCTCCCCCTCAGACTCATGTCTACTAAACACTAGCTTGTGCCAATTCTTAGTGAAGTTGCTATGAAAGACCCATGTCTGGAAACTTCCCTGAGGAAAGAAAGGGAGCACTCACGAAGAACAAAGGATACACAACCACAACCAGTAGCTGAACATTAAAAGGTTGTTAAGATTTGAAATGGAGGTTCCTCCCACACACTCACTTTAACACAATCGGGGTGACTAAGAATTGGATCTGAGCAAGGTGAGACTCTCCACCATCAGTCCTTAGCAAATTAGGCACCCACATTCCATATCCCAAACCGCAAAGCACCAACAAAAGAGGATTAGTGAGTCTTGTCTGCCTAGACAAAAATCCAGATCACCACGAGGTTTGGCTTTGCAAGAGTTGTGTGTGTGTGTGTATATCCATGAGTGAGTACGTAATACAATTATCAAATTAAACCAAAGCTCCAAAGGCAGTTTTGGAGTGGCAAATAAGCGTCATTATTTTTTTCACACCGTAATGAGCTGAGTAGAGGTGAACTACTTCCCAAAAACATTTTTATAAGAATTCTGAACATTCTAGAACTGATCCAAAATTTATAACTAGAGAAAATTAGTCCCTTTTGATGCCAATAGCTTTTCCCCCCTCCAAGGTTGTCCTCTAAATTGAAACTATTTTCTGGGTTAGATCTATGTCCCAAGGAATCGGTTTGGATTCTCCATTCATTGCCCCTCATTGCATGTCATATTTGCTCACTGTTCCTTCTGCAAAATCTATCGCTGTCATCCATACATTAGCACCTGTGAAAGGAATCAAATCTAGTTTGATCTGTAGATGCATCTGCACTGCGTGTGCCTGGAACATATATTATGTAAAACAAATCTAATTTCATCTTTAATTTAATTTCATCTGCAATCATAGTTTCCTGAGAATATTTTTTGTTAAAAAGGAAAGTTTGAAAAACAATGGACATCTGGATTTTGCATGCAAAAAAAAGTTAAGGCATTTATGCATAAGATAGGTTACACACACACACACACACACACACACACACACACCTCAACATTAATATTTGTAGCAGTTGAAGCAGTTGTATTGTAAGGATTTGTGTTGTTTTTTTATCCCCGTGTTAAGATACATTAACTTACCTTGTGATGTTGATGATAGTAAAGGAACAGCTGTTAAGTCTCTTGAGTTGTGAACGTTTTTTGAACAAGACCAACACAGAGAATATTAATAAGGTCATACTTTGTGCATTGGTGAAATTAATAGATGCTGCTCAAGGGGTTACCTGACAGCAGAGTTGAGGCATAGCTCAGCCTGATCTTTGGAAATATGCTGGCACACAAGATTATAATGTGGGGCAAACTTCTGTGGGTGAAATAAACCGGATCTCTAAGAGAAAATTGGGTTCCACTTACTGCGCTGAGCTGAAGAAGTAGCCAGGAGAGCCCAAACAGCAGCCCATAGAAACCAGATCCGTGACATCTTCAAAGTGTGAGTTCTTTGTAGTCTCTTGAACAGTTGATGGCAAAAGAAGGCAAGGAAGACTTTCCCGCTATTAAAAAGAGAGCTCATTTACATATACCCACCTCTCTTTGGTGCATGAAGACATTGCTTTCTTTCCAGCACAGGGCTTTCCCCCTCCTCTTTCTAATAATTGAGATGGGGGAAGGGGGGAACATTGGCTGTATGATCCGGTCACAAGTTTGCATTGTGGACAACACAAGGAGGCCCTCTTTTTTAATCCCATAGCTGGAATGCCAGGGTAAAGGGGTAGGGTGATGCTTGAACACTGAGGTGCTTCATCGCAGAGGAGGAAGTTGGGAGAGATAATAAGAGAGAGCCAAATGACTAGTTATGCAATTTCATTAAAGGGCATCATCAGGGTGAGATTATAGGGCACAACCCCACTCACGTCTGGACCTTTTCCAGCTTCGGATGCAATATGATGGAGCTTAAGCAAACTATATCAATAGTTCTCAGCTAAAGAATGCAGAGAAGTAACTGACAGAAAAGCAGAGGCTTCCAGTTAAGTCCTTCAAGTTGAATTTGATTCTCTAGCAACATTACAGATGTGTCTGCCCAGAAATTTTTGATAACAATAAAGAAGTGATTTGCTATTGTCTCATTCCAGGATACTTAAAAAAAAAAACTTTTCCTAATCTAGCCTAATGCCCTTTGATTTCCCAAGACATTCCAGTCCAACTATATGTTGTGACTCGGAGGTTTGAACCTGCTCTGTCAGAAGACATAGGCTCGAGTGATGAGGAAGATCTGGCATTAAGGTTTGAGCCTGCTTTGTTGAGTGACATAGACGAGGAGGACTTGGCTCTAAGATTTGAGCCTGCTTTGCTGGAAGTTTCAGTGTCGTCTCCCACCCCAGAATCTTCCCCCCTGGTTGTGCCTCAGGTGTTGGCAGATAATCAGGAGAGTGTGCCGGAGTCATTAGCTGAAGATCAAGCCGAGAAATGCTGGTCTGATGCAAGGCAAAGACGCAGGCAGAAATGTGACATACAACGTAAAAAGAAAAGAGACTGACACGCCCCTCAGGGAATGTAAGGAGGCGTGTTAGCTCTGAATCCCTGTTCGGGTCAAATTGTCTATTGGAGTTAGCAGTTTGGATGAATTATTCTACATGGCGATCGCCTCTGATATATTGTTTTGCTCGTTATCGGACTTGGTAGGCAGCTTCTGGGAAAACTGCCAAAGACGAATTCAGCCAAAGGAAGTTAACTCTGTCGTTCCTGTTTCTGTCTGTTTAAGTATTTTCCTTTGGAAATTTGGACTCTCACCTTGTGGCTACAGATGAGATAGAATACTATAAATCAGTCTTGACCCTAGTTGATGTTTTAGGGTTAGCAAACATCAGCTAGATGTTGCCACGATGCTGGATTTTCATCACCCTAAGAAATCAAGGATTTGTGGCTATTTCAAGGCTCATAAGGATTTGATGGTGAGCCAGGGCTGACCGAAGACATCTAGGTAAATAAGCAGAGACGGATGTTGTGCAGAATGAAGGACCAGTGGGGAGATTAATTGTTCAATTTTTTTTCCCGAATGAGAGTTCAGGAATCTCCCATAATTCCTCACAAGGACAACGAAGAACAGTGGTCTCTCATGGGTTTGAGTGCCAAGATCCAAGGATGTGACAATTTTGTTCTCGCAGTGGAGCCTTTCATAAGGACATCATTTTTGGAAATGTTTGATTTAACCACATTATAAATATTAGACATCTTGAAAATAGTGAGCTTAATTTGATACCTGGTGAGTTTTATTTTCTTTGGATTTAAAAAAAATTAAAAGAGAAACTTGAAACTGCAAATAATATAAAATTAGCAAAAAGCAGGAAAGAAAGGATTTTTGTTTAAGAAAATTTTAATTGAATAGGGAAACCAGAGAGACTTGGCATATCAATTATTTTTGTTATATGATTTGTAAAACAAGTATGTAATTAATTAGTACGCTCGTGGGAAATGACGAAAACAGAACCAGATCCATATTAGGAATTGAGGATTGGTGAAGTCTGTAAATGGTCACTAGAGGCAAGCCAAGGACCAGGCATTAAAGTATTAAAATAGGTAAATTGGCTATAATGTTTTCTTTAAGATTTTTTTTTTTGCATGGACTAAAACGTTAATGGTTTCATAATCTCAGAAAGGATACAGATTTCAATGGTAGACTTTTAGAAAATGATGAGATTTAAAAAAAAAATTGACTTGATATAGGCATTATAGTGTTTGAAAGTATGGAAGACAGCAAAATTGAATTCATCAAACTAGGAATACGAATGATAAATCAAGAAAAAGGGTCTGGGAAAGGAACAGCGGCTACAAAAAATCATGGATGATGCTTCTTTATGAAATTTACAAAAGTAGGCTGATGAAACCTTTGAAGACTTCTTTTAAATCTCAAAGAATGATGAAAGATCAAAACCCCCAATGCTGTAGGAAGGATTTAGAGATTGTGCAGAGCAAAAAGAAAAATATAAAGCTGGTAGCAGCTTGTTAACAGAGAGTTTTGAACCTTAATCTTGTTTTTTATATTATTACCTTTCTTCCTGTTAACTATTTTATCATTAACATGGTATACAGGCCAATAATTTACAAATAGATCTTTTGCAAAGGGTGGGAATTGTTGGAAGAAAAATCAGGTCCGGTTCCAAGCCGAGAGAGAGAGAGAGAGAGAGAGAGAGAAGCTGAAATAAAATGGAGGCAGCCCGCAGGAAAGAAAGTCTCTGTTTATTTGGTAGCCAGAAACTCCACTGATAGCAGCATGTTTCTGGGGTGGCTGACAAAATGGGATTGAGAGTAGGTGGACTTTTAAAAACTATTTGGGGCTTTGTGATTGAGATGCCTATTCTTGTTCAAGAATATATCCTTTATTTTAATGGCTCTTGCCAGATTCCTATAGGGTCATATAGGTCAGTCCCAGCTGTCTCTACGGGCAAAGGGGGAAATGCAAATCCTAGGTACTTTATTTGTCTGAGCTAATCTTGTCAGCTTTGACTCCTTGCCTATGGTGCTGCTTATTTGGAGTTTCTGGTTGCTCTTTGCTTATGAATAGGGTGGCCCAGATTTCTGAATAGATACAAAATATCCACTCCTAAAGACTACCCTCTTCTGGTTTCTGCTTGAGGATAGCAGGAAGACTGGGACTGCTTTCTGCCTTTAAGTTAAGTTTTGAACCTAGCACTACGCCGCCTTCGGTCCGATCTAAGTATAGTATATAAAATCATACATTGCAATGTCCTACCTGTCAATGAATACTTCAGCTTCAACCATAACAACACTAGGGCAAACTAATAGATACAAACTCAAGGTAAATCACACCAAACTTGATTGCAGGAAATACGACTTCAGCAACAGAGTGGTCAATGTCTGGAATACTTCACCTGACCATGTGGTTTCTTCCCCAAACCCCCAAAACTTTAACCTTAGACTGTCTACTATTGACCTCACCCCTTTCCTAAGAGGTCTGTAGGGGGCATGCATAAGCGCACCAACATGTCTACTGTCCCTGTCCTATTTTTTCTTTTCTTTTCTTTTTTTCTTATATGTATCCATGTTTTAACATTTTAAAAAGAACAGATGGTAAGCCAATAAGACCCTAAACCCATCTCAATTTCCTGCCTTTCATTAAAACCCAGTGCATTCACACTACCTGTCAATCTCACTTGCCTCTTAAATTTATATATGAAAGCAAGTATGATTCCAGATTTGCTATTTTTGGAAATATATAGGCATATATACTTAACATGGGAGTATTTATGTATTAAATTTACATGCCATTCATCTCACTATCCAGAGCAATTGTTGACATATATACTTTTAAGAGTATGAAGTCATAAACTGCTGTATTTTTTAAGCAAAAAGCATTATAAAATATTTTGTTTTATAAGCATAATAAACAAGCCCATATAGGACTGGCTGTATATATCTGCTTAGTTTCTGGAGTAGGATTTGTTCTTTCCAATTTCAGTATCTAATTCGTATTAATAGATTTGACCTGTAGTTAAGTGAATTTGGCTCCTTTATAAAACCTCTCTTTCTCTCATCTATCTACGGTGTATATCTATATCCATCCATCTATCTTGATTACTTTTGTTGCATGAAAACACTAGATTTTGGCTCGCTTCCCAAGATAGGTTATTTCTCAGAATTGTAAATTCATCGTCTGGTTTAAGGAAAATTAAAGCCATATTGCTCAGGCAAGGAGGTTCTATGGTCATTAAGAACTCTCCCAGAATAATTTGATTTCGTAGAAAAGTGTACATTGAACAGACTTTTCTACATAGTATGTGCCTGATTTCATTTCTGTGCCTGCAGTGGCTCACAGTAGCAACCTGGTTCACCCTCACATGAGTTTGTTTAATGATTTCCACTGTCACAGTTTTTAAATCATATCTCTCAGTTGCTGTTATAGAGGGAGAATGGGATTATACTTCATCCAGCAGAGTTCCAGCTTCCAGCAAAAGTCCACGTTAAATAATGTGGACCACAATCTTTTTTTCAAAGATGGCAATATTTAGAAAGCAATGGAAGAAAGAAGAATTTCCCCAGGATTTGCTACTGAAAGCCACTGTAATTCTACAGCAGCAGTGGGCAAGATCTAGTTCAAGGATTGCATGCAATTCACCAGCCACATTTTTGTGGATGTTGACATAGAATTGCCAATATTCCATGCTCAACTATAAAATAACTGCAGTGCAAGATCTGAAGAAGAGAGCTGAAGAAGTTTCTTGGATGAGAAGCGAAACGTCTTCAAAGAAAAACCAGAAAGTCCAGTTGCCTCTTGAAAAAGCACCTTTGGGACAACAACAACCTGGATGACTTGAGAATCTCCATAGACAAGATTTAGCTGCAATTTTTGGCAGAAAATGATCAAATGTGGATGTATTAATTCATCAGTAAACCTAACACATCTATTCTTACATTAAATCCCATTGGGGGGAAAAATCTAAAATGGGAAAGTGGACAGAAAATTATGTTCAACTCTTTATGGTTGAGTTAAAATATTACAAATTGTCAGCAACTTTTGGAGGCCTTCTCGAGGCTGCACCCAAGGCTTTGCACACCCTTGCTGTAGAGGCCATTTTAGAGAGGAAACCCTTCTCAAAACATTGTATTAATTCATTCATACCCAGAAAATATACCCAATAACATGGAAGAAGGAACAGACAATTTAACAAGTGTGACAGAGTGAGGGATAATTTAATTTTAAAAACAATTTTCAGGAATTTTTCAAAAAAAAAAAAGAACTGTTTCCATTGGTCAAACACACACAAACACAAGCCACAAAAGACAACAATAACACCGTACTAGTCAGGGCAATTTCTTGGATCCAAGTTCTAGTTCCATCAAACAGTGGTTCTCAACCTAGTGTAGGGACTTTCAAGTATTTCTTGACTGACAATCACAATTGAGCCCCAAATTTCTGTTTGCCAAGGAGACAGTTGTTAATTGAATTTTGCCCCCATTTTACAACCTTTCTTGTCACAGTTGTTAAATGAATCACCGCAGTTGGTAAGTTAATAACACAGTCGTTAAGTGAATGTAGCTTCCCATCAACTTTGCTTGTCAGAAGGTCACAAAACATTGTCCTGGGACACTGCAACCATCATAAATACATGTCAGTTGGTAAGTATCTAAAATTTAATCCCGTGACCACATGGATGCTGCAACGGTGGTAAGTGTGAGAAACGTTCATAAGTCACTTTTTCAGTGCCTTTGTAACTGAAAACAGTCACTAAATGAGAATTTAAGTCGATAACTACCTAAATAGTCTATGGAAATATTACAGAAAGCCTTTTCTGTTGGCATTGTTAGATAGTGTGAGCTTTTGTACAGGCATGCCAAAAATCCCTTGGAATCACAATGCTTGCAAGATTTTGCCATTCTCACCCCTAAACTTGCAATGTTTTAAGACTAAAGACTTGAGATAAGGTGAAGATTTTGGCTATATTTAATTATTTCATGTTCAGGCTAGATTGGATTATTTCATGTTCAGGTTGGATGGAGGTCATCTGAGTGGGATCACACTTGCAGTGGTTCCCATAACCATTTATATAGTGATCTTTAAGCTGTGCCATTACTGCTTAGCGGGAACATTGTGCAAACACAATCCCCATGTTCAGCTGATTTTCTCCTTTGTGTCAATATGTACTCAAGAGAGTATATCACTAAATGTCTGGAGATTCTCAGTCATCCAGGTGAAAGTTATCCCAAAGGTGCTTTTTTCAAGAGGCAATGGGACTTTCTGGTTTTTCTTTGAAGACGTTTCGCTTCTCCTCCCAGAAGCTTCTTCATCTCTGAGATGAAGCTTTTAAATATACGTATCATAGTAACTTGTTTCATGATCCAGTTTCGTGTGTGATGAGAACAGAGTCTGTAGAGATCCTCAGTCATCCAGGTCATGGTTGTCCCAAACTAAGGTGTTGTTGTTGTTTTTTTCAGGAGGCAACTGCAACTTTGACTTTTTTTTCTTTTGAAGACGTTTCGCTTCTCACCCAAGAAGCTTCTTCAGCTCTGAGGTGAAGAAGCTTCTTGGATGAGAAGCGAAACGTCTTCCAAGAAAAACCAGAAAGTCCAGTTGCCTCTTGAAAAAAAGCTCCTTTGAGATGTACTCAAAGAATCATTTCTTTTGCCGATTTTTAACATCGATTCGAATCCGAATGAAATCCGAAGCTCCGATCCCTGCCGTCGTCCATCCGCATTCCATTCCATCGGCATTTCTCCCCAAGTGCCGCGTCCGTCCTCGGGGCCCTTAACAACGAAAACTCTCCTTCTCGGAAACGACGGCGCTGGCCCTTTAAGAAAAACTTCCCTTCTCCTTCTTTCTCTCCCGCCACACGACGTGCTTCGCTATAAGCTCGGAGCCAATCGGCTGGCAGGAAGGGCGGAGCGAATGGAAGGCGGGAAGCCGGAGGAGGCGGGGTGGGGTGGGGGAGCTGGAGTCGTTAGCATTGTTTGAAGTTCAGCGTCGCGCGCGGGAAAAAAAGGGAGTGAAAGGCAGAAGAAGAAGCCGAAGAAGCAGCCGCGGTCGCTTAACTGCCGAGCGGAAGAAGGACGCTGCGGTCGATCGGCGTGGCGCGAGTTCGAGTCCCACCCGTCCGCAACAGCCACCGGCAGGCGGCGGCCCGGAGACCTCGCTCTCGCTTGGCTCTTGCGGACCACCGCCTCTCCCTTCCTGCTCTTAGTGCCGGCGAGGATCTTTTGGGCAAACTGGGATCCTTCCCCAACCCGCGTCTCCTCCGATGGAGAACTTCCAGAAAGTGGAGAAGATCGGGGAAGGCACCTACGGCGTGGTCTATAAAGCCAAGAACAAAGTCACCGGCGAGGTGGTCGCGCTGAAAAAAATCCGCCTGGACACGTGAGTGAAAGACCTTTCCTCTCTCTCCTCACCCCCACCTCCATTCCAAACTTTCCCTCTCCCCACCTTTCACACGTGCACGCGAATACACGCAACTAGAAGAGGGATCGTTTCTCCCGCTTAAGGGAGAGAGCGCAAGCCCGGAGCCTCGCTCTGCTTTTTTGGGGAAGGAAGTCTCTAGATTTGGGACGGTGGTCGAGGAGCAAAGGGTGCGGAAGGAAAAAGAAAAAGGGGAGACTCGTAATCTGGCGGCTCGGCTGCTCCTCCTCCTCCTTCGCCAGTAAGGGATCAGGGGTCTCCAACCTTGGCCACTTTAAGCCTGGGTACTTCAATTCCCAGAATTCCCTAGCCAGCATTGCCATTAAGGGTACCTTAGATCAGGGGTCTCCAACCTTGGCCACTTTAAGCCTGGGTACTTAAAGGGAAAAGCTGGCCGGGGAATTCTGGGAGTTGAAGTACCCAGGCTTAAAGTGGCCACGGTTGGAGACCCCTCCCTTTATAGATTGAAGGGTTGGTTCAGAGGAGGGAGCCTTTTGCTTTCCTCTCTTCTTGATCCAAATGTTTCCGGAAATTTTATCAAGACTAAAAGGAGACAGGCAGTGTCTGGTCACCTCTGCCGCTCCTCTTTATCTCGGTTTTTAATAAGGAGCTAAGTTTACCTGCCTGCAAACGCTCCTTAGCCCCAAGCAGAGCATGAGCTCTCTCTCTCTTTCTGTCTCTCTCTTTCGCCACGTAGGTAGTAGCTGGCGAAATGCAGATCGTATGCAGGATGATGGCCCCCGGGCTGGGAGAGCTCCCCAAGAAAGAGGGAGCAATGGAGTTGGAATAGCTAGGCAGCTTGCTGTACAGGTTCCTGTAGTTATTGTAATTATTTCATGGCATGACCGGTTGAGATTGGAGCTAAGGTGAATCGGAAAAAAGTTAGAAGGGTGCTGCTGGCAGCAAGAGAATCTTGTGTGACCCACACTTTAAAAATGTCCTTTTGCTATGAAAATTAACACAAATAGATATCTCTTCTGGGTGCTGTAGAATACCCAGCTAACTTATTGGATTCGGTTAATAATGCTAAGTCTTGAGTAAGTCCTTTTCCCTTTGTTTTGTTTGGGCACGATAAAATCATGAGCGTTTATTACAGTGGTTCCCAAACTTTTTCAGTCCACCGCCCCCTTGGTGCTACAAATTCATCCTCGGTGCCCCCCACCCAGGGGTGGGATTCAAATTTCTGTGGGTGTGGCCTAATTTGAGGGTGTGGCTTGCTGGTCATGTGACAGGGTAGGTGTGATTTGGTGGTCATGGGTGGGCGTGGCCAGGGGACTGACAAACCAAATACAAGTGGTCCTCACTTAATGGCCGGTTGTTTAGCAAGTGTTCTAATTTATGACTGGCCTCCCCAGAGATACTTGACCTGTTTTTGGAGTTTTGACAGCCATGCACACACATACACGTGACACACTCCCTTCTAACCCTGCTGGAGCAGGTCATTGGACTAGAATCGGCAAAGCATCTCTTATTAGATTCTAGCAGTGAATAAAATCTAATCAGAGATGCTTTGCCGATTCTTGTTGATTTGTTTTAATTGTATCTCATTATTTTATGTTGCTGAATTCCATTGACATGTGTGTCCCTCCTTGTGCACAACCTAGAAGCTTTTGTGATTCTTTGCAGCAAAAATTACTGACCTCTGGCTTTGCTCTACTTTTCAAACATGCCGACACTGCTACGTTCTAGGTGCCGGCCCCACAGGTCCACCTCATTGAGCCCACTGCATTGGAGGGACCTGCCCAAGCAAGTCAATGGGGTGAGCCTGAGAGAGAGAAAGAAGAGAGAGAGAGAGAGAGAAGGAAGAAAAGAAAGAGAAAGGGGAAAGAAAGAAAAAGGGACACAGAAAGAGGGTGATGGTGGAAGGAAGGGACAGAAAGAAAATGAAATAAAGGAGGGAGGGAGGAGAAAGATAACGAGATATCTATTCAAGTCCAATCACTTGCTCCAGCAGGGTTAGAAGGGAGTATCTGGGTGTGTTCTCCTTGTAATTTACCAGTACATTTTGGTTTTGCCTTCTTCAGAATTGGCACTCTAATACATTGGGGAAAAGTAATTTTTTGGGTGGAGATCTGATCCAATGGGTCCTGTTTAAAGCCTCAACAAAATGTGAGAGCTTCCTGATAGTCTTGACCATGTTTTGTCCACAAAACCTTTAATAGAAGCCAGTCTCTCTCTCTCTCTCTCTCTCTCTCTCTCTCTCTGATAGATGGATAGAGAGACAGGTAGGAAGGCAGATAGATTGGTAGGTAGATAGGTACATAGGCAGGCAGACCTTTTGGATGAATATATAGGTAGGTAAGTAGATTGGTAGATAGGTAGGTAGACAGTCAGAAAGGCAGGCAGACATTTTGGATGGATAGATAGATGGATAGATTGATTGATCGATCTATATTGGTAGTAGGTAGGTAAACAGACAGGCAGGCAGACAGACCTTTTGGATGGATGGATGGATGGACAGACTGACAGAAAGAATGCGACAGCAGTGGCACTTTGGGAAAGTAGAGCACAGCCGGGGTGGAATTGAAGTCCACATAAGTTGCCAAGGTTGAGAAACACGGTCTGAATATATCAACCCAGACATTCTGGTTTAGAGTTTAGCATGCTGTTTGATTCTGGCTTAGTCAATGAATAAACCATGGCTAAGCTCTTCCTGCTCCTTAATGCAGCTGCCCCTCTGCCCGTTCTCCAGTCCCCTTTGGCATCCAATTTTGCAATGCCAACCTCCCCGGGGCAGCGATGCAGCCGACCTCACTCTCTTTGCTTCCACCCAAGGTCCACTTCCATCGGGCCAAGCAAGGGGAGGTATTCTGCACACGCTCAGAGACTCCCAACTTCAGTGAAGCGTTCCGCCCATCTTTATACTCCACCTGGGAGGAGGAAGGCGTGTGGAAGCAGCCCAGACCAGCGGAGGTGGAGGGAATGATCGCTTGGAAACTAAGCAAGCAAGCGCAGGGCTCAGTCAGAAGAACCAGGCTGCAGAGGGAGGCTAGGTTCTAGGTCCGGGGCGGCCACGTAGAACCAAACTGAACCAAGCCGCGCACCTTGGAGAGCCGCAGCTGCACCCACCCGCATCCTGCACGCAAGCCCAGCTGGCTGGAGAGTCGGAGGCAGGGTGGGCGCTGCACGCTCCCTTGTTCTCCGGGGAAGGGGACCTTAACACCGGACCACCCACTCCTTTCACTGCACACCTTGGGAGGGTTTTGCTTTCGGGCCTTCTGGCGTGCCTCCGCCACTTCCACCGGAGAGGGCAGCCTGCAAGCTTAAGGTGCCCTCTTTCTACCACCTCTCCCCTCCCCCCTCCCATGCTTGGCAAGGCTCACTGCGCGCGGGTTCCACATTTGAGGCGCCGGCTATGAAGTGATGAAACAGTCCATGGGCTGCGTGGCCAGCAGTCAGTGAGCCTGCGGGGCTGGCACCTTGAATGCCCCCCTGCCATGTCTTAGCGCCCCCCCTGCCAGCCCCCTTGCCTCTTACCACCCCTGTAAGGCATCCCACCGCCTCCCAGGGGGCAGTACCGCCCACTTTGGGAACCACTGGTTTATTAGATATCTCCCCTTTTTTATCTACTAGAAGCTGAAGGTGGTATACATGTACTTGTTAATTTCTTTCCTCCAGCTTCATGTTTTCACACTAGTTCTGTGAGTAAGTGAAAATGATTTGGGGGATATTTATATTCTGGAGTTTCCCAGGTCTTGTCCCTGTAAAGCTGATAGTTGGATTAGAAGGCCAGCTTGATGTGTGAACCCAGACATTAGAGGATACAAAGTCAAATATACCAAATATTCATACAGGATAATAAGGAAGTCTCAGCGTATCCTATTTAATCTGCATTAGTAATGTATTATTCCACTTGCATTGAGCAATCATCTGTTATGCGCTTTTTCACCTACAACTTCTGATGCTTGGTTGTCTATCTCAGCATCTCAAGTAGTCAATTTAGTTGGCTAAATTCACTCTAGTTTTATCTCCTCTCCTTAATTTGATTGTTTTCTTTGCTTTCAGGGAGACAGAAGGAGTTCCCAGTACTGCCATCCGAGAGATTTCACTCTTAAAGGAATTGAACCATCCCAACATAGTCAAGTAAGTATGTGGAAACCAGAAAGAGATGATCTGGAGAATAATAAATAGAATACTATTTTTGGTGGGTCGTCACGCCATTTACCCAACCACTGTAATTGTTGTACAATTAAGGTGTTGTACAATTAAGCTGTAATTGTTGTACAATTAAGGTATACAGTGACCACTGTTCAATTTTCCAGCTAAATGGTTGGTAAACAGCGGCCACTGTTCAGTTCTCCAGTTAAATTGGGAGGAGGCGTTTTTGTGGACTAATATCTGACAGCAACTGAACTGGGAAATGGTTGCTTCAAAGAAGGTTTTGCAGTAAACTGGAAGTTACACACTTCCATGTTCCTTATTTTATTTCGGCTAAATTTAGAAACATGGGCAACTTGAATATAATTTATATAATGGCACTGAGCTTGTAAAAAAAAATTTTTTTTTGATGCAGTTTTCTCATCAAAATCCAAAATTTCTTGTTTGTCTTTTACTTCCTATCCCTTCCTTGACTCCCCAGATTGTTGGATGTGATCCACACTGAGAATAAACTCTATTTGGTCTTTGAGTTCTTACATCAAGATCTAAAGAAATTCATGGATTCTTCCACTTCCATCAGTGGTGTAGAGCTACCCCTTATCAAGGTAAGCCAGGCAGAGCATGTATGCAGAAAAACCAACACCACAACTACCTGTTCTGGGTTCACAGGTAGACTGGGTACATTTCTTTTTGTTTGACAAAAGAACTGCAGGAGCGCTGCCAGCCAAGGATTTTGAAGGGAATTTTGTGCCTTCAGTGGACATGCGCTTCAATGTAGAAGCTTCTTAATAAACAATGTGTGCAGCCAGAGTGGCTTCGCTCTTAAATACTGCTGAGTTGACTAAAATCTTATATAGACCAAAATGAAATTATATAGTTTTGCTAAATGTTCAGTGTGTTTCCTTTTTTTTTTTATGTGGTAAAAAACAAAGCACAAGACCCTCTACTTTGGGTTACCAAATGGGCATTGGAAACAGTAGTCTCAACAGTATAGCCGATCCTGGCTTGTCCTTAAGGCAGATAGATAGACAGACTATGGCCTTATAGACGGAAGAATCTGGTAGGCACAGTTCTTCATAAAGTGGCACACAACATGTTGAATTAGACATGCCCCCACAGGTCTTTTGGATATGATCAGAGTCAAATCCGCTTCATCTCTTTACCTAATTTCATCAGATCCAAACTGATGCTCCCTGCACCAGACAAAGGCCCCTTGCAGTCTCATCAAATCAAAGAAGAAGAAGAAGAAAGCTTCCTTAACCAGTAAAGGGAATTGCAGCAAATTTGCCAATCTTCCATCCATCAGCATTCCATGTCTTTTACAATGGACCTTCTCAGCTATGCTGCCTTCCTCTCAATGGCCCATTTTGCCTAACAATAGAATTCACCCCAGGTACACTGATAAGGACCTGCCTAGCTTCCCCAAACTGGCCACAGCCATTCAGCTCTCAAGGACGGCATCACAGCCTTCAACTTATAAAAATATTTGCTTTTCTGTTGTTTGCGGTTCCTCTCTTTCTTATAACACAGGAACTCAAGGATACTTTCAGTAAACATGTTCTTTTCAATATTGTGATCTTTCAGACCGAATCCATTAAGACCAGAACATATTTGTTTTTTTTACATTGGATTTGTCAGATTATATTCTGTCATTTAGCCCTCTTATGTTCCAAATTGCACCCCTCTCTATAGCAGATGGGCCCGCTTATACAGGGAGTCCTTGACTTACAACAGTTTGTAGTGACCAAAGTTATAACGGCACTGAAAAAAGTGACTTATGACCATTTTTCATACTTGCAACCATTGTAGCATCTCCCATGGTCACGAGATTTATGTTCAGATGCTTGACACAACTGGTTTGTATTTAGGACGGTTGCAATGTCACAGAATCATGTGTTCACCTTTTGAGACCTAAATTTCTCAGGTAACAACATAAATTTTGGGCTCAATTGTGATCATAAGTTGAGGACTACCTGTACTGACTTAAGGACTCATGGTCAACCAAGGTTTTAGTAGAGAAGGGGTGGATTAGATTCCAACCATAACCACACCATGTTACATGCAACATTCTCCATTATTGGTAAGGACAGTGCTAGTTAGTTTTGGTCAATAGGCTCCCAAGCACAACCGAAACCTAATTTTTTTTTTTGAAGCTTGTTTATGTTTTTCCTAGAGCTATCTGTTCCAGCTGCTGCAGGGCCTGGCCTTTTGCCATTCCCATCGTGTCCTCCACCGAGATCTGAAGCCACAGAACCTCCTCATCAACGCAGAAGGAGCAATAAAACTTGCTGACTTTGGGCTTGCACGTGCATTTGGTGTGCCAGTGAGAACCTACACGCATGAGGTGAGCAATTTGTTTTTCCTCCACTTTGGCATTCGCTGTACTATACATACAGTCCTTGACTTAATAGTGGCAATTGGGACTGGAATTTCCATCGCTAAGCAATGTGATTGTAAAGCTCGGGGAAGGCACACAAGGACGCACAAGTTGGGGACGGTGCGCAAGGGAGATGTGACAAGGGGGCGCATGAGTGGCCAGTGCAAACCTGGAGGGCGGGGAGACTTACCCCAACAGCTTGCAACGTTTTCTATCATTGACTTTTTCGAAAAGGTTGCAAATGGCAACCACTTGATTGTGAGGTGCTCAGGGGTGGGATTCTACCGGTTGGAGCAAACCGGATGTTAAAGTTACAGCTGGTTCGCCGAACCAGTATTTCAAATGACCGGCTGACCCCACCCCTTCTAGGAGTCTCCATGCAGCCCATTTTCGATGGAGGTAAGTGCAGGGTCTGCGCGGCCTTCTGGAAGTCCGGAAACAGGCCTGTTTCCAGCTTCTGGAAGGCCTCCAGAGGCCAGGGGAGGCTGTTTTCACTCTCCCAGAGGACCAGGGGAAGCTTCTAGAGCCTTGGGAGGACAAAAGCGGCTTGCCCCGGGCTCTGGAAGCCCACCAGGAGCCGGAAACAGGAAGTTCCAATAGGCCATGCCCACCCAACAACCGGGCAGCAAACTGGTTGCTGGGATTTTTGAAACCCGCCCTTGGAGGTGCTTCAGCTAGTTGTAAGTGCATACTGGTTGTTGTGTGCTCCCAAATTGTGATTACTTGACTGCAAGGGTGCTGGGATAGAAGGAAGTCTGAGGACTGTTCATAATCACCATTCGTTCAGCACCATGACTTTGAATGGTCATAAGTCAAGGACTACCTGTAGTCTGATTGGTTGATTGGAAAATGCTGATTTTCACATTATAACAACATACTGGCTCTTCTCTTTCTCTTTTATATTTTGTATTAAATATGATTTATCAATTACATGCCATCAAGGTGGGATTAACATTTAGGGACCTTCTATGATCTGGCCTGGTGCACCCATTGCTACTATCATTGAGTCCATTGAACTTGCAGTTTCTCTTTCCTTCCCCCCTTTTCCAGGCTTCTCTCGGGGGCTCAGTCTTGTCCAGAATATAATATGAACCTGATCAATTTGTGCTTTGAATGAAAAATCTGGATTGATTTGTTTTATAATCCATTTTTGTCTTGGCTTTCGCTCTAGGTGTACACATATAAACATATGTGGACTTGAGGCTGAGTAGCATTAGGGAAACAATTTCTTTAATATCCCGCTGCTCAGGAACATGGCCCAAATTTATTTCCTTCAGATTTCCCTCCATGTTGATGTCACATAACTTACTTGCGTTCCAGCTGAAAGTGACTGTTTTCAAAGAGGCTTATGTAGAAATGCAGTTACTGCATTACTTTCTCAGAGTACAGTTTTGTATTATGTGTCTTTGTTGCTATAGCTCATTCCCATGCTCTGTTCAAAACATCGACTGAAATTATTATTTTAATCAAAACAGATAGCCTAAAGGGCTAAAGTTTGGAATATTTTACTAATATTTTTTCTTGTCAGCAGTGAGATTGCATTCTCTGTTGTTGTAGGCCAGGATAGGACAACCACTTTTTAGCTGGAGTCAAAAGCAGGGAAAGAGAAAAAAAACCAAGAGATTTTCACATTAAAGCAAACTTATATATATTAAAGTTTAACCCTTTAAGCTTTTGATTGCACTCTTTGTTGCTGACTTTTAGCAGTAACTGCAATGGGAAGTCCAGGATCCACCAAAAAAAAAAAAAATTTCAGAAGGGGCACACATGTATAGGTAATCCTCGACTTACAACCACAATTGAGCCCAAAATTTATGTTGCTAAGTGAAACAGCTGTTAAGTTAGTTTTTCCCTGTTTTACGACCTTTCTTGCCACAAATGTTAAGTGAATCACTGTGGTTGTTAAATGTAACACAGTTGTTAAGTGACTCTGGCTTCCCCATTGACTTGGCTTGTCAGAAGGTCACAAAAAGTGATCGACGCTGCAACCATCATACATAGGAGCCAGTTTTCAAGTGTCTGAATTTTGATTACGTGACCATGGGGATGCTGCAACAGTCATAAGTGTGAAAAATGGTAATTCGTCAGGGCCACTGTAACTTTGAATAGTCACGAAACAAACGGTTGTAAGTCGAGGACTATCTGTACTACAGGAATCCTGCCCATACCCTTTACAGAAGATGGGTAGTATATACTCCTGTCTGGGATGGTTGTCCTCTCCACTGAGCACACAGCTTTGGCATGGGGCAAAGGGACAGCTGCCTAGCCAGCCAGATCAGCCAAGTCAATCCTGGCAATCAGTGGGGTGGCAGATGTCATAGCCAGAAAGCCCTTGCGTCCATTTTATTGGTGGATGGCCGAAATTATCTACTCATATAATGGTTGCAGTTGGAGGCCTCACGGTAAAGACCATTTGGCTCAACGTGCCCTCATAAGAAGCCCTACCTGGCTTTGTTTTCTGATATATGGTCAAATCTGTTCATTCTAAAGGTGCTTGGCTCTCTTACACAGCTAATAACCATTTAAAATACTTGTATTCTATTTTAAAACTGGGGTCTGGAGATTAAAAGTTTGGACTTGCCAAGCCAGACTTAAATGGAAGTTGGTGTCAACAATGATTAAACAAACTTGCTTTTTAGGTAAGGGGAAAGGAAAAAGTATTTCAGAAATCATTTCTGAATTTGGCTATCAGGGGTAATCTGGGAAATGATGCTGAGGATATTCTTGTGACCATATAAACTCATGTGATTAATGGTAATGCAACATTTTCTTGTTCATTAAGCTCTGTGGTATGTAAATAGGATACAATAACTCAGGAATCCCCCTTTTTTTCCTTAGCTTCTGAATGAAGCTTTGGAAGCTGGCTTACTGGTGCCTCTGGCTTGGTATCTCTTCCCTAGAAGGACCAATAATTGAATGTAGCCTCTTCTGTATGTGAGTCATGTGGTGAACTATTGAAAAGTGACTCCAGCCCATATAATAGCTCTCCATGTGAATTAATTTGGTGGTGGTATATGATGCGTTTACAAAAAAAATGGAAGGACAGGGCTTGTGAAGCAGAGAACTGGTGGGAAGTGTTATTTAATTGTATGGGTTTTATATCTTACCTAGGTGGTGACTCTTTGGTATCGAGCTCCAGAGATTCTCCTTGGCTGCAAATACTACTCAACAGCAGTGGATATATGGAGCCTTGGATGCATCTTTGCAGAGATGGTACGTCTTTTGGAAATGACAGTGGGATGAAGCAGCAAATTGGGCTTGAAAGGCATTTGATTGGCAGGAGCCAGAAAATCTGCCTTGTGATGCTAAGGTCTCGAGGTTATGGTACGAATGTAGGTAACTATGCCACTGCAGGCTCAAACGTTTGAAAAAGTTTGTCGCTCCTTAAGGAAAGCTTTATTGCTGTAAAACACACACTCATTCATTTCTGTGTGTGCAACATGAGTAGGTCAGCCCAATAAAAGCCTGCTGACAGGATCAGTTGACTTCTGAGGACTGAATTGGGCTTTGGAGAGAACTACTTCCCTGCTAGGGGCAATTTGTGCTTTAAGAATGGAGAATTGGGTCATACATTGAGCATGTGCTGCGGGTTGCTCATCTGCTGAATGATGGGAATGAAGGAAGGGGCCAGATTCCTTCCGTCTATCTTAATGATGGTCAGTGTTGACGCACAATCCAAATATCTTCATATGTGGGGCGTTCAGCTCTATAGGGAAGGTCCATCATAATGAAAATTACATTTTTAATATCCTGTTTGCATAATATTTTTATAAGTATATCAAACAGCCAATGAAACAGAATAAAATCACTGAGTAATAAAAGGACACGGTTGAAACATTACATCAAAACAATTACGCTAGCGAAGCCTACTATGTTGTGGTTTTGACACTTTGTTCTTCTGCCAAATAGTTAACCCGTAGAGCTCTCTTCCCTGGAGACTCAGAAATCGACCAACTATTTCGCATCTTCCGCACACTGGGCACCCCGGATGAGATCGTGTGGCCGGGAGTCACTTCTATGCCTGACTATAAATCCAGTTTTCCCAAGTGGGCCCGGCAGGACTTTAGCAAAGTAGTACCACCATTGGATGAAGAAGGCAGAAAACTTCTAGCAGTGAGTTTTATGTAGAGAAAAAGGATTTTGAACTATAGCGTGTGGTTAACATACTAAACTAAGAAAAGTTATAGGTACTTTAAGGAGCATCTGACAGCAACTGGCAATGGCACTCGTGCCAAATCAAAAGCTCCATTATTGATTTGTGCTATATATAATGTTGGTATTTATAATCAAATTCCTATTCAGAGTTTGCTGTGCCTCCATGTTTTCTTCTGCTGTCCTGCTTTAAAAGATTGAATCATGTCAGTGTAGGACTTGTGAGCTCTATGCATGGCTTTATCCACTTGCAAGAAAAATGGTTTGGGTCTTAGTTTTGAGTAACTCTCCTCACAATCCTTTAGGGGACAAACTAATGTCAACAGTTTTAGTCTCTAGATTTTGATTCTTGTCATTAACTTGATTAAGACTATAACACATAGCACTAACTTGAGCAAGGTAGTGAAGTGAGAGTTGGGAAGTGCAAACCACTTCCAACATTTTGAGTATATTATAGTGCATAAGACTAATGAAACTTGCACTCTTCTTCCTTCCCCTTTAGCTAATGCTGCATTATGATCCCAACAAGAGAATCTCAGCCAAGACTGCTCTCAATCATCCCTTCTTTCGAGATGTCACAAAAGCTTTGCCACACCTCCGCTTGTGAAATGGAAAAGAAGCCACACAGAGTTGCCGCAGTGCAAACTCTGCAACATGTCTTTTCCTCCGGCAGCCTTTGGTTGTTTGCACTTAACTTTTCAACTTAACCCCGCAGAGAACACTGGTGGTCCAATTGAGGCACAGCCTACACGTTTAGGATTTTATTCCTGAACTCACCTTTAAAGCACTAAGCTGAGCTTGAGGATTCTCTGGTTCCAAGCTGCCTTGTGAAGAGAGAAGGGTCTCCAAAGCTACCAGCTCCAAGGATTCAACTTGCTTGAGAAGCACCCCTTTCATTCTTCACGTGTTTTATCTCACCACCCCCACCCCAAATGAGTTCCATGCCTTCCTTCTTGGTGACTTCTTCAAAATAAGGCATTCTGTATTGGCTTACTCTCCAGCTCTTGACGTCTTGGGAACAAGTACAGTGTAGACACTTCTCTTTCCTTCAGGTGTAGAAGGGACTTTTATGAGAGGGCTAAGGGACTTTGGCAACATCTTTAACGGCGTTTTCATCAGTGATGTTGGTCAGTTTAACCCACTAATTAAAACAACCCCGGAGAGAGGCGATTGCTGAAGCTGGTGGTACAGTATGCCTTGTTAATTATTTAAACGCTGGCTGCATCACTAAGGTCTTTTTGACAACTGATATGCAGAGTAATCTTTATCCACCCAGTATTGTATTATATCCCTGTTTCCTTATTCTGTGTCACTGAATTTGCAGCCAATTAATGCCTTATGTTTGGCAATTATGGATTGTCATTCCAATACTGTCCTACAGTCAGGAAAGTTTCAAATGTCAGTTCTGATGGGTTGGCCTTACATCCCTGGCTTTAAGTAACGTATCTTGCAAATATGGATGCTTAAATTATACGTGAGCTTTGAAATGCATATCTAATTATTGTCTCCTATAATCTTCAGCCATACATCTCAAGCCAAATATAAGTCTTAAACTCAGCTAGAGAATTCACATCAGCAAACTTTTCTGGCGAGGTCTGAGGAGCCGGAAATACCAATGTCTACATCTTTGTTTCACCCTGTTTTGGAGGGAACTGGATTGTTCAAGTTAACATCAGTTGAATGTCATCTAAGTTCTGATTTAAAAAAAAATAATAGTCTGAACTAAAAATCATGATTGGTTTCTGGTGAATGCCATGTGGAGATGAAGTATTATAAAAGTTTCATATTGAGAAATTTTAAAGACCATTTAGATTTGCTAAATAGTAGAACGCTTTCCTGTAGAATTCAGGATTTTATTTCAAAATAAGGCAATGTGAAGTACCTAAAGCCTGTCTCTAGCATGCAGCAATAACTTAAATCTGATTTTGAAATAACTCCAACTTGCACACTTAACTCGATCAGTTGTATGATACGCCTTAAATATGAGGCTTCACAGTAAAGCTATGTGGTATTTGTTTTTCTGAAAGGCTTATTTTTTTTATCAAAAGCATGTATGCTAGGGTAATGCTCAATTGTAGAAATGAAACATGTATTTTAAGATGGCGAGGACTGTACTTTCCTCAATGTGGGGAAACTTCTCATTCATCCTAAGTCATAATTCTTACTGTCTTCACTCAGATGAAAAAAAAACAAACATTGTTTCAGATATGGAGACTTTTCTGAAAGTTGGTTATTTCAGGACCTCTTGAATTAAACTGGACATTCTTACATGACGTTGCTTAGTGTAATAATACAGAAATACCAAGATGTTATTCGTGCCACTATTCACAAGCAGTATTTGGAACCATGGTATTCTTTCCCTTCATTTTTGGACTGGAAATATATATATATTTATACAGCTATTCATTTTAAAAAAGATTTCTGGATTTGTTAGTCTAAGCACCTTGACATTTTTGTAATATCTTTTAAAGAAAATTAGTTTTCTTAGCTCTTTGTAAGACAAATGTTACTAAATACAGTACTGTGAAATCAGTTTCTAAATCATTAAATACTAGGAATTTTAACACATGGCTTTCTTTTCATCAAAGCAAAGATACTCATCAGTTTTCATTGAATTCAAGGATTTGGTAGATGAAAATATAAATTGTCTAGCAGTTAAAAGCAATGCTTTGATTTCAGAATCTTTTTACAAACTTAGAAATGATTGTGGACCTCGAAGAGTTTTGGAATTATCTTATTTGATCTCCAAAATTATTTTGACTTTGCAACCCTTTGAACGAGTCTTGGGGATTCCAAGGGATCCGATTCTAATGTGTTGAGAATCACTGGCCTACGTTTCCCACTTGTATCTGAATACATCTGAATACACATCAAGACTTTATTGTGAAACATAAAAGATGTAATTACATGTAGTCCTTGACTTATAATCAGCCACTTAGTGACTGAAGTTATAATGGACTCCTCTAAAAGGTATTTATGGCTCAATTTTGCAACTGCTTGCACCTGTGCCAACCCCTGCCTGTGTGTATGGTCATGCGATCACATTTTGGGCATTTGGCAACTGATTTGTATTTATGGCTGGCTGCAGTGTCCTGCAATCACATGGCTCCATTTTTTTAAACTTCGTTTTCAGCTTTTATTCTTGGATTCTGACAAAAAAACCCCAACCGTCGCTCATTGGATAAAATGGATTCACCTAATGACTTCTGCATTTACTGCAAAAAAAGGACATTAAATCGAGTGCAATTATGTGGGAACCTGCTTAATGACACCACCTTAACCATGATCCTGGGCTTAATTACAGTCATAAATTGATGACTACCTGTATAGAATTGTCTTGTTACAAATACTTTCAATCAAAGCTTGTCTGATGTTCTCTCTTGCTTACATCCAAGAATATGATTCAGTAGAGGTAGAGAGATCACATTCTTTGCAAATCTCAGGTCTTGAATTCTGTCCAGGAGACTTGTGAAAATGTAAATTGATATGAAGGTGAACTATGAGCTATGAAAATGTGTGGCCTGTAGATCTGCTAATGTACCAATTCATAAGAAGTCTTGGTCTAAATGGCTCCTTTTCTATAGCACTATTGTTCTGAAGACCTCCAACTTTGAGATGATGTCCCAAAGTCAATTATTCACCTACTAAGGCTAATGGTGGATTAGTTATCTGGGTTTCCCTTCACCTATCCCAGCATCTGAACCACAATTTATTTTTTTATTTTATTGCCACCTATTCGCCCATGGCAACTTGAGGCGGCTTACACAATGTAAAATCATTTAAAACAAATATAGATACCACATTATCTGTCTGGTAAATTATGTGAAATCAGGATGATCTGTTGTTTTAAGAGAATAAATTATGTCAAATATTCCAATCACATGATCATCTGAGTTTGAAGAGTCCTGAACAGTTACCACTAACAAAGCTTCACAACAGGTTTGTGGAAGTGAATCAGATCTCAAAAGACATGGACCACAAAATGGGGGCTATGAAAGCTTATTAGGCGCATTTTTTTTGTCAAAAACACTGCTTTCCACCAATCTATATGAAGCATATAAAAGAAGAATGTACAATAGCTTCATTCTTCCCAGGAACGGCAGGCAGTCCCAACAAAAAACACCTAAGAACAATGCATGCAACGTCAAGAATCTAAAAGAATCCTAGGGTAGTGACAGTTCTGCAACCCACTCTTGTGGCATCAGTAGTCACAAGTCCACAATAAGGAACATTGAAGAAGAGTGTGCATCAAGGGATATCTAGAAGAAACCTTGCTCTCCAGAAAGTAGATTGCCATTCATACCAATCTTGTCAAAGGGTGCTTGAATGATCCAGCAGGCAGTTGCATCAATGTTCTGAGGATTGATTAAGTGGAAGATTTTGGTTTTCAGCTGAAGAAAGCAAGCCACCGTGGGACATGATAGTGGGATATTATGGCTTGGAGTTCCTTTGCATCCTTAGATTCTTGTTAAATCTGGTTTAAAGGTTTTTGAGAAGGGACAAAGAAAAAATGAAAACCTTGCAGATTTGAAGGGATTAAAGATTGTTAAAAGTGAAAAGAAGAAATATAAATTTAGTTTATTTCAACAAGGTTAAATAGGTAAGTTGTTCCTGATAACTTATGGACTTTTGCTGACCAGGACCGAAACAAGGACACCTTAAAAGATTTGTCTATAGAGAAGAGTCATGGAAAAAAAACATTTGTTGTATGCACATTTGCTGTATGTTAAGAGAAGGCTGATGATGATGTTACTAAAACTGTTTTTATTTGTGATGAAGGGAAATATTTTTTTTTATTATTTTTCTTTTACTTTATTAGTTCTTATCTTTTTAACTGTAACGTCCCACAGAATCATTTTAAAAAAGGTCCTCCCATCTTATTCGGGTATTCACCTTTTTATTTTTTGACGTAGCAAGAATCGGTATTGCTGACCATTACCGAGAGGCCGTTAGTAGCCCACAGAAGGCTCAGTCTCATTCAGGGGTGTGTGTGGGGACCCTCGATTTATCTTCTCGCTCCCCGACAAAAAGTCTTAGAAGCGGAGATTTGCTCCGCGTCCTTACTCGCGCCTCGACTTCTTTCCCTTTCGACTGAGTTCAACAGGGGCCGTCGGCTCCCTGATACTTTCCTCTCACCCAGGGAGCTGCTTTCTTTTTAATACTATTCGGAGGACTGGCCGGCCCACCGCCTTCCAGGGCCGCACGAAGGCGCCTCGGCAGACTGATCCTCGGAACACCAAGGAATAGTTGACAGGAGGGAGAGCCGGGATGGGACTCCGTCTTTTCTGAGGCGCAGCAGCTCCCGGCTCTACGGCTCTTGCGGGCGTTACTCAAGAAGCACGTCCCGCTGAGACCAGCGAACCTGCGGCGTCAGCAACGAAACTTCCGGCCGACTCAGCTCTGGCCACGCCCCCCACATGATTTCCCGTTCCTAGAATTCCACCTCGCCCGGCCCCAAAGGGGTGGAGGGGTCAAGGTTCACAGGAGTCCCGGAAGTAACTGTTTTTTTCCTCCTTGTGCCATTCAAATTCCTCGTGGCTTCTAATTGGCCTCCGGAGATAGTGCGCTCTCTGATTGGGCAAAGAAAGTTCGGTGCACGTCTACCTACCTTCTTCTCAATTCGGCCTCTCGCTAGGAGGTATGAAGGACATGTGATCTGCGATTGGGCAATATCAGCTACAGAGCGAGCTGTGATTGGATGGCCCCGCCGGACGGCTCCTCCCTTCTTAGGTCACCTTATTTGTTGTTTATGAAACCTCTCGAATCCGCAACCTTTCTACTGGCTGGTTTACTCGTCCATTAAAAGCCCAATTGTCTTTTCTATTGGCTGGAAGCTTTTTAACTCGCCATTCCGCCTCCTTCGCTGCATTGGTGCTTAGAGCTGCTTGCCCGTCCTTCCCTTCGCGGAGTTCCAATTAGCTAGATGAGGCAAGGGTGCGGTTTCCCGTGAGGCGATTGGTCGAGAGGACGTTCTTGCGCCCCAGGTGCCTAGCGGCCATTGGTTTAGAACGCAGTCTGACTCCGCCTTCCGGCACAGAGTTGGGTTTGGTTGAGGTAGTTTGTTTGTGTGCGAAACAGTCGAGGGCCGCGAAGAGGGGGGAGCTAGTGCCGTCTCAGGTACCTATGTGGGGGCTCTTAGGCCGCGCCGGGCTGCCCGGCGGCTTCTCGGGGGATCGTTTTGGCTCCTTCGGAAGTCACTCCCTCAGACCACAGTGGCTTTATTACACGGGGGGGCTACAGGATGGACTTGGGCCCTCCGTCCGGCAGCGGGGGGAGCAAGAGGGGGGGAGTGGGCTTGGCTAGCGAGTCCTTGTGGCTGTGGGGAGAGGCGGCGGACGGCCCAAGAGGTTAATTGGAGGCCCTGGCGGGTCTTGGAGAGGTGGGCCTGTCCCTTTTCCAACCGGCTCCTGACTTGGGAGGGATGGATACGCGCCACACGGAGGGAGGTGGCCTGGAGAAGCCAGAAGTGGGGCGAAGCGAAAGGCCTCTTGACATCCAGGGCAGCTGGACGGTGCCGAGCCAGGGTGGGGGTGAAGGACATCGGTTAACGCTAGAATGGGGCTAGGAGGGCGAGTCTGAAGCGGAGTCGCCGGGCCGCAAGCGTTGTAAGGGAACGTCCGCGTCGGAATGGCGACTGTCTCTCTCTCTCCCGGCGATGTTTCTGTCTCTCTCTGTGTGTGGCCTTTCTGACGTAGGGAACCGACCGGGCTGAGTTACGAAGACTTGCTGCTTCGGTGGAAATCCTGGTGGATCGGCATAATAAAACGGGCCCCAGTGAGAAGTTCGGGGGTTTATTAATCGATCCGTAATTGAGATCAACTCTGCGTGAGGAGGGATCGTTCTCGTATACCGTAATCAGCTCGATATGGTTAAGCTTGCCTTGGTTTTAAAAGAGGTTAAGAACTGCTGGTGGGGCGTAAATTGCATACTTAGTCGTTAGTAAAATCTGGTTGGCGTAGGAGGGACCCATCAAAGCTTCCCAGCCTGCCGCCTTGGCGTTAGGAAAGCAGAACTTTGTACTACCGCGATAGCCGGTGAACTTAACAGTTGTTTAGCATTTTGCTGGCTGTTGGAAGATCCGAGCTTGGCTGCCTGGCTTGTTAAAAGCCTTTCTTGCCCCTTCGTCTTTCCGTGTTTTCTTTCTCTTGAAAGATTTATGTCTCCTCATAGCATTGAATTCCCCACACGCTCACATCCCTTCCGTGGGTTTTTTTGATCAATTATGGTTTCTTTCTTAAATGTAAGTCACCTAGGAGGGGCAAATGGTTTTGCCCTTTCAAAGAAGAGTTACCGATTGCATGGTCAGCAGTCACAAGAGTGTCTGTGATTCGGCTTAAATTTATGGTAATAGATAGGCATGTGTGATGCTTTTTACTAATCCTTGTAATTAAGCTCTGAAAGGCATAGTGGGGCTTCGTGGATGTTTTAAGGCTCT